CTCTTTTTTGTGTGAGTACGTTCTAGATAGATGGTTGAAGCACAGTTGAGTAAGAAGCTGGTAGAATACTCGATGGTGGTTGGGTATGTATGTGTGTATTAGTTTTAGTATGGTTCTTGAGACAGTATAAACGATACATAAGCTTTTGGCTCGACGTCCCCTTGACTAGTTTAACCCCCCTTTTGGCCAACTTCCCGTGATCGCACCTTCTTCTTTCTTCATCCCTCTCACAGTAAACTCTCGTACTTATCCAACCCTGACTTGTTCTGCTGCTGCTGCTGCTGCTGCTGCTGCTGCTGCTGTGATTGTGTCTGTTGAGGCTGTAACGGTGTCCCCCAACCCGATGATTGCGGTTGAAGAGGCTGCATCATTCCCATTCCCATCCCACCAAACCCAGACCCCATACTACCCGTATTACTCTTTGCAGCCATCATATTCCCCATGCTATTAGCACCATTATTGATACTCCCCAGGCTCAAGTTCCCAAATGACCCGGACCCGCTCCCCCAAGAAGTCGTTGTTGTTGTCAGCGTGCTACCCTGCGCAGGAGCCTTGGGTGGTGGTGCTAGACTGAACCCGCCGGTCCCTGACCCACCAAATCCAGGTGTTGAGACTGATGAAGCCGAAGCTGATGGTGGCGGTTGTAACGAAAAGGAAGAGCTGGTTCGAGAAGTACTGGATAACTGGCCGAGGTTCATACCTCCAAAGGCGCTCGTTGGCGGAGCGATAGAGGGAGAAGTAACGGCCGATGTGGGGGTTGATGACGACCAAGGGTTCACTTGTGCTTGTGATTGCGTGGCCGCGCCCCAGTTGATACCCGTTCCCCCTGTTGGGGAGGTGATTGTGGAAGGGGTAGGCTGAAGCGGTTGAGAGAATTGAGTAGATTGAGGGGTAAGAGGCTGGAAGGAGTTGAGATCGGGAGTGACGGTGCGGAAGTTGGGGCCGGTGGTTTGGGGCTTTAGCGTTGTGGAGGGAGCGGCGGCGGGAGGAGCGGAGGACCAGGAAAAGGTTGCGGCGGGGGTTGAGCGGCCGGTGCCAGTGCCAGAACGGATGGTGGGGGAGGTTACGGGTTTGTTAGAGCTGGAGGTCAGGACGTTGTCCCATCCGCCGGAGTCAAGCGGGCTGGTGTTGTTGTTAGTGTTACCGCCGCCGCCGACTAGGGCCGCGAAGTCATTGGCTGAAGTCCCGTTCGTGTCTAGAGCTGAGGAACTGGATAGCCCGCCTAGAGACATAAAGTCCTCTGCTGGACCAGAGGTGTTACCGCCGTTGAGCTCCTGGAGCTTCTTGGTTTGTTCGTCTTCTACCCGTTTGGACAAGCTCTTGATGAGATCCATGAATGACTGGAATTGTTTGAGGTCAAGCAGGGGCGTTAGACTCATTGCCCACAATATGGGCAAGATGTCCATAGCCACAAAGTCGGCGTCAGCTACCTTGCCCACAATGCGCAGGACGTTGAGGGCGGCAATCATAACGGCCGGTTCCTTGGTTTTGATGGCCTTGATTAGGGGCACAATCTTCTCCTGCATGGTAAACTTGTCTAGTGCACTAGAGCTAGACGCAGGTTTCCTGTCGGAGGGACCGAGTCCGTCGAGGCCGTCGTTGTTTGCTAATGGGTCAGTGGAGCCACCGCAGAGAACAACAAAGGCTTGGAGACCGCGGACTTTGATGGCGAGACTGTTGGTTTTGCTGAAGATCATGGCGACTACGGGGAAGAGCTCGTTTTTGATGGTGCTGAAGTCGAGGACGGGAAGGACGCTTGGGAGGCATTGAAGTGCTGCGCCGACTAGGACGGGGGTTGGGGACTCGAGGGCGGCGAAGATAATGGGGAGGATGTCTAGTGATGTCAGCTGACTGTTCAAACACAGTATGAAACTGGAAGAGCTTACCATCTTTAAACCCCTTTCCGGGACATGCAGCAACAATAACAGGTAGCTGCTCAATGATGATGATCAAACCCGCATCCCTAGCAGGATCCCTTTCCTGTGCCTGCTTTGCATTGGTGACAAAGATCTCCTTGATAACCGGCCGCACTCGGTCTCCAAAAGCTCTCTTGCCAGCCGTGGACGGAAGAAGCTCGATGATTTTGAAGATGTTATGGAGAATCAGAGAGATAAGCTCCTTATCCTTCATCTCTTCAAGCAAGCCCGGAAGAATCTTCTTCTCCATTACCGAGTTGGGAAAGTCGGGTAGGACTTTGATCAGGCCTCTCAAGAAGGCCTGCTTCTCGTTGGGCGTCTTGGCCGGGAAGGTGTCCAAGAAGCGAAGAGTCTTGACCATGATGTTGTTGAAGTACTCGCTCTGCTGGAATTCCTTGGCCGTCATCCGTGTGGCCGGTCTTCGCGTGATAAGTCTTGGTAAGACATGGTTGGCTAGCTCTTTCGGTAGTTCGCGGGAGCAGAGGTAGTTGTTGGTTGACGACGGCACGCCCTGTGACGACTGGAAGTGCCTTTTATAGGCGGACAAACTCGAGTTGCACTCCAATGGTGACCGATGGGGCGAGTTGTATAGAGATACGCACAGTAGCCCCAATGAGAACATGTCGGCCGAGGATGTCAAATTGTTGTCGAGGACAAAGTCGGGGGAGGTATAGTCGAGGTTCATCTGGACGGTCCGAGGTAACCTGGGCTCATAATGCAGGACCTCTGCCAGACTGATGGGTTGTATCGATGTCGGCTTGTCCGAATCTTGTTGAGGACTGCAGAAGGCGAGGCCGCTGACCTTCCAATCTGACTGTATGGGGGTCAGTTTAATCCATGTTCGAGGGCCACACGGAGATAACCCACCTTGGCATTAATAAGAATAGCATCTGGAGTTAGGTTGCCGTGGACCAGTCCGGCATTCTCGTGTAGGAACTCCAAGGCTTTGCTGACTTGTAGCAACCCCTTCTGATACTCCAGCTCGTCTATTTCCACCTCGCGCCGCCTCCGGGTGCCGTCAGGTTCCTCTCTGACATAGCGACTTGATCGGCCACCGACGCCATTTCGTTCCTGGTCGTCCTTCTCTTGTAAGACTGCCGCGAGTGATGTTGTTACTGGTTCCGTGACGAATTGTAGGCCACCGCCTCTGGTTTCCTCCACCGGTTCGACGAGTTCCAAAATGGCGGGATGTCGTAGCCTGGCCAGCGAAGAGGCCTCCTTCTTCAACCGTTCAACCACCTCTTCCACCACCTTCTTAAAGCCGGCGGCGCTGGACCGACTGAGGTCCTTGCTGTGCGCGTCGAGTATCTTCCTGTCGAAGACAAAGACCGAGTACTCCTTGCCGGTGGACTTCTTCTTGGCCGGGTAGATCTTCCATGGTCCGGCCGTCGTCGTGAGGGTGGAAGATATGCTGTAGTTGGAGTTGATGTTGGTCGCGCCGAGCGACTTGAAGACGCCGGCGAGGGCCATGGTCTAGGTAATCGGTCGGGGGAGTTCGAGGTTTCGGTGGATAGTTTGCGCTGGGTGGCTTTCGGGGGGGTTTGGCTACTGGAGCTGAAACTTTCAATTAGGGTCGAAATTCCCGGTCACCGTTTCTCTGTATCCATTGACGCGCGCGCAATGGGAAGATGAGGATCGAACAAGAAAGGCAAAGGAAGAAAAAAAAGGCAAAGGCGAAGAGTTGTTGGAAATGGAGATTCTCATTATCTAATTGACTGGACTTCCATTTACGGAGTGATGTGATTCGTACCTATAGCAGTTGATGGTTTACAGATCCCTCCACTAACAGATCAGATACCAAAGCAAATCCCAGCTGAACAATGTTGGAATAGTCGACCGCCAACCGACGTTGGTTGCTTCGAATAACAATGAAGGATCCGGAAGACGGCACAAGGCAGTTCAAGTTGTTACAAGTTACGTTTCGGCGCAAGCTTGGCCTCCTTAGGTAGATACAGCCCAGTGTAACTGCGCCCAAGGCCCAATCGCCAGTCGGGAGACAGTCCTGGTGTCACTCGGTGGTAAGGCTGAAGTCGATAAGAACGTAGGGAATGATAAGATGACCTCAGGGGGGAAGCCTGGAAGACGGCGGCAATGACAGCGACGACGGGACAGCGGGCGGGGAGCTCGCACTCACACCTCACGGGCAGTTCACGGCCTCGCGACTTTGAACCCCGAGGGCGGTGAATTATGTTAGGGAGCTACACCCCACCTGCTGCAATCAAGGGGGGCATTTTGCGGGGCGCAGCAGATGTGTTCTGGAACACGGTTAACACACCGAGTTCGAGACCTCAAATGACTCCGTGGGCGACATGGTTAGCGGCGGCATGGAGCGGGCTTGTCGGGAACAGCAAGTCAAAGCTCCGATCGCCCTCCGATGGTCCCTTGTTCCCAACATTGCTGTCGTCCACTTTCGTCCACTTTGCGCCGTGCGCGGGAATCTAGGTTGGGCGGTCTGACTGACGGACTGACTCTTACGTACGAGCAGTGTGTAGTGTAAATCATATAGATATTACTGTCCAGTCCGTCCGTCCTCTGTCCTTCCTCTAATCCTCTGGTCCCGGGTCCGAGTCGAAGAAGTCATCACTGATCTCTTTGTCCTTTATTTTATTTTTTTCTACCATATCCACTTTAGTCCTTTTTGTATTTAGACTAGACGACTTGTTATTTCCAGCCTTTGATACCCAAACCCAAACCAAAACACCACACACCACACATCACCAAAAATGTTCCGCACCTCCCTCCGCAGGGCTGCGGCCTTCCAGCCCGCGAGGCCATGCTTCGGTGTCTTCTCCGCCACTGCTGCCCGCCAGTACAGCGCTGCCGCTGGCACTGCCGATATCAACCCTTCCAAGCTCAAGGTCGAGAAGACCACCCAGCCCAAGGGCCTCTTGAAGCCCGAGGAGCTCGTCTTCGGTCGCAACTTCACTGGTACTGTCCAAAACCTCCCCCCAAAAGAATGCGCAATCAGCTTTGACTAACTTTCATGCCGCACCAGACCACATGCTCACCATCGAATGGACCAAGGAGAACGGCTGGAACGCCCCCGAGATCAAGCCCTACCAGAACCTCTCGCTCGACCCCGCCACCTGCGTCTTCCACTACGCCTTCGAGTGCTTCGAGGGCATGAAGGCCTACAAGGACAAGGCCGGCAAGATCCGCCTCTTCCGCCCCGACAAGAACATGGCGCGCTTCAACAAGTCGGCCGCCCGCATTGCTCTGCCCACCTTCGACTCGCCTGCCCTGATCGACCTGATCGCCAAGCTGGTCAAGCTCGACAGCCGCTTCATCCCCGAGCAGCGCGGCTACTCGCTGTACCTGCGCCCGACCATGATCGGCACCCAAAAGACGCTTGGCGTCGGCCCTCCCGGTTCCGCCCTGCTCTACGTCATCGCCTCCCCCGTCGGCCCTTACTACCCCACGGGCTTCAAGGCCGTCTCGCTCGAGGCGACCGACTACGCCGTGCGCGCCTGGCCCGGCGGTGTCGGCGACAAGAAGCTCGGCGCCAACTACGCCCCCTGCATCGTGCCCCAAGTCGAGGCTATGAGCCGTGGATTCCAGCAGAACCTGTGGCTGTTTGGCGAGGAGGAGTACGTCACCGAGGTTGGCACCATGAACTTCTTCGTGGCCATCAAGGATAAGAAGACGGGCCAGAAGACCCTGGTCACTGCGCCGCTCGACGGCACCATCCTCGAGGGCGTCACGCGTGATTCCGTCCTCGCGCTGGCTCGCGAGAAGCTGGCGCCTGAGGGCTGGAAGATCGAGGAGCGCAAGTTCACCATGAAGGAGCTTGCCGAGGCGGCGAACGAGGGTCGTCTGATCGAGGCTTTTGGCGCCGGTACTGCCGCTATTGTGAGCCCCGTCCGCTCCATCAGCTGGAAGGGTCAGCTCGTCAACTGCGGTCTTAAGCCCGAGGAGGAGTCGGGTGAGCTTACGATGCAGGTCAAGAACTGGATGGAGGCTAGGCAGTATGGTGATGAGGAGCATGAGTGGAGCTATGTTTGCGAGTAAATTATAGATATCTGAGCCAACTGGGTTACGAGGGAAGACCAAAATGATTATTTAAGCGAAAGATTTTTACGCAACAGTTAGATCCGGAAAGTTTTTCCTGTATATACTTAATGGGTTATGACATGGGATTTGCGGTAGATGGATACTCAGCCAGTTCATGAAGAAGCCTGTTATTTCCATTCCACAAAGCTATCGATTCTTGTGATATCTCAACCTTGTGCTTGTACCGGTGATGCAAAAGTCGAGGTGCACAGCATTTTTATCATTCTTGGGAGAGCTACTCTGGCTGTAAGAGTTATGCCTCCGGCGGCCCCATACGGGGAGGGGACCTCGCTTCGCTCGAGGTCGTCCTGGGCATTCACCATCACCAGTTCCACGTACTCACTTACCAGTTATACTGCCATGGGGTCTGTAGTGGTGAAGAGGAGAACACAGCATCAAATACTAATCCACCACCGTCTATCAAGAATAAATCCGCATCATCAGTCTATCCGCCCAACAACCCCCTTTTAGTACAACAGAAAAGCAAACATAACATTGCAAACCGACAAAGCAACCTACCACCCTGACCAAAGGGGCAACATGATATACAGTTGAGAAGGATAAGTAGAGTTGGGGAAGGGAGTATATGTTTGGGTCTTTTTTCTCAAAATGATCAATTCCATCATTTAAGCAGTGCAGTGCAAGTCGCAATGAAACCCCATACCCGCGCAATGTCCGTCCCATCCCATTCGCTCCCCCCCCCCCCCTCTCTCTCTCTCCTTTGCTCCCTAATTCAATTGCTCGCTATCCCATTTGAGCCATCCGTTTAGACTTATTGATGACTAGGTGTTGTGAAAAGGCCGTCCTGTGTAACCGGTCCCTGATCGTCGTCGTTGTTGTTGATGCTGCTGCTGCTGACTGCTGTGACATGTTTAGTATATTCGGCTTGGCTGTCTTGACTTGTTCACACCTGATGTTCCTCCCACTCGCTAAAGTTCGTCGTCTCGTTGAAAAGTTGGTGTTTCGTTCATTCCAGAGTTCCAACGTGAGGTCGAAGTGTTAAATTCGTGCTATGCTCCGACGTTTATTTCTCGGGATGAGGATCCTCGAGGATACCCTCGGCCTCTAGTCGGCGACGAGCCTCTTCGAGAGCCCACGTTTGGATGCTGTTGATGGATAATGTTAGCGTGTGCTGTTCAGACCACACAGCCAGACTTGAATCTCCTAGCGCAAGCTCCCCATTTACCGAAAAGCTCATATGCTTTCGGTCCTCGAACCCCCCTTTGCAGTCTGCGCAGTTACTGATATCCCCCTCCCCATCACTATTTCACGACCCCGTCCCGTTTCCTCCACATCCATCAACTCAACCCCACCTCTCTTCCTGCGTCCCCTCTCTTTCCTTGTCCCAGCCCCCTCGAGCTACCGCAACATAAGGGAAGCAAGAGAGAAAAAAAAAGCAACTTACGAAGTATCAGGCTTGAAAGCATACGCAATCGTAGCGACAGCGAAGCTGCCGCAGAACCCATAAAAGAAGGGGATCTCCCACCCTTCCCTCTTGTACTCCTCGCCCGGCCTGACGCCAAAGAGCCAGCCGCTGGGGGGGTCGTAGTGCGGGGCACCACCGCTGCGGACGGCGCGGGAGGTGCTGAATGCGCGCCGGGAAGCGAGGGCGCCGGCGCGAAGGATTGTGGGGGCTGGCATTTTGATTTTGTTGGTTTGTATAGTGTTGCGCAGTCGGCGAAGTGGTTAGACCAGTGTCGCTGTTGAAGTTGAGTTGGGAAAGGGAAGCGAATCCGCTCGGGAGGGAGTGAGTTCGTTCTCTTTTAGTCGAAGTTGGATTGGAAGATTGGAGGTTAGGTTGTTGATGACAGGTACAACTGAACTAAACTGAACCCCCCGATTACTCAATTGCCCGAGACTAATCCGGGGCACTGATGCAGATAGGTGGAGTTGCACTTCTTGGGGACAACGGGAGGCGGGAACTGCGAACGCTACAAGGGCGGATGGCAAAATCTCCACACTTTGGGTGTCCGCGTGCGTGATGATATGGGGCCGGGCAGAGCGGGCGGAGTTGCCTGATGATGATTGAGTTGCAAGGAGTGAGGCAGTTGTGGTGGTGGTCGCAGTTTGCGACTGGGCAGCTGTCGTCGGCAGTTTGCGATCGATTGATTGGATGGAGAGTTGTGAATGAGCCTATGACTGGATGACGCGGTTAATGCAAATTGGACGGGAATTGTGCACTCGTCGTCACGTGGAGGGCATTGGCCGATATTATCCGGTTCGGTTTGAGAGACGAGAGGCACGAGGGGTTAGGGTTGAGCGCAACTACCTAGCTCACCAGAAGTCTCCAACATCATGGCACCTTCCCTTCAGACACTCGATCACACTTCTTCAGAGAAATCTCTTCATATGTTGGAAACCAATGTAACTTGAGCTTGAGGGTCAATGCTTTTGACGGCGAGATTAAACGCAGGCCACTTTGCCCGATTTGCTGTGCGGCGCAGCGAAACACCATGCCATGAACACCTCAAAGTTCTTACTTAGCTTGGCACAGTTTCTCAAGCGGGGAGTCACAGAAATGGAGGATGGCGTGGATAGGCAGTTCTCACTACCTTGATGGTCACTGACTGCGGTATAACAGTTTACGATGGTCATATAGGACTCCTCATGGACGGGCATTACGTTCCCTTCTGTCTCAGCAAGTTTGGAACATCACTTCAAGTTGTACCTAGGTACTGTTCTTCCGAACACCCTTGGACTCCGAGGTTCTCACGGTTGATAATTACGAAGCGCGGCTCAGACATTGAGGTCAAGCACGCTATGGAGGATTGCCATGATCCCAGCTTTAACCTCCTCGAGTCTCCCCTCTACACGGTAGCAGAGATCCACGTCATGCACAAGCAGTACGAACTTCACTAATCAAGCCGTCCGCAACCAGAACCAGCCCTGTTGCCGATAAGACCGGACGAAAACGATGACATCTACATTTTTGTTGGCGAGGCGTTTTGTGACGCGGCGGCATTATGGATGGCGAGTTCATGGAACAGGCAGGAGAGTTCCAGGATTTCTTTAACGTGTGCAGTTAATGCTCTATGTGCGTGTGAACAAGGCGAGGAAGGAAAAGTCGGGGGCGAAGTCAGGTAACTTGCAACGCCTACGTTTCGCTGCATGTACTTGAGGGCCCATGTCCGAACCAAGGATGTACGCCTGGCACGCACCTGTCTCTCGGAGTTGACGAGCAGGAATCTAGCGATTGGACGCCATCACGAAGGGGAAGGAAGCCGGCTGCCTGAGCAAGGAAGCAGTTCCCACGGTCAAGCGGGCTCGTTGGTTCCTTCCCTTGGGAGCCTGGCTGGCCGCGAGAAGATGTGGTAACGATGGAACCCAGCCCTTCCAATTCTTTTTATTTTTCTGGCCCCTCGCTCTTCTTCAGAATCAACTTGAAGCAAATCACCGATTTCAGTTTCTATCTGGCCCAACCCGCAGTCTACATGTGAGAAAACTTACAAACACTCGATCAGTTGAATATCTATCACAGGTCAGTACATTCAACACTTTGGAGTTTCATGCCAACTCAAACAACGAAGGAATGGCACTTTTGACGCTCACCTTGTCTCCTAGAACTCATAAACTTTTAGCTGTCTGCTTCAGACTCAACGCGTTCACTATTGTCACTGATCTGTTAGTGTGTCTCGGTGCGGTCGACTCCCGTTGATGCAACCTGCACCGGACTTGAGCATCCTACAGATGATTGTACCACCATTCAAGCAAATCGGACTTCGTGAAAAAGGTATTGTCTCTTGACACTGCGATTCGGCCGTTTCGGTAACAAGTGGGGCAGCTGCTGAGCTGCCGGTTTGATTGCAATCCCTAAAGACACCTTTACCTGCAGGAGCCGGGCAGTTTGCATTATCGGTTCCACGTTTTCCAGCGCTATGTCTCCAAAACCTGGTCACAGAGATTTGGAAGAGGCCACATGGATTTCCCGTCATGATACAAAAACAGCTTTTCGCCTGGCCTGTTCTCGATTCCCTTTCTTTCTCCAACCTCTATTTCACATCATTCGGTATTTATACTCATTCCAGATGTTCAACCGTCTACGCTTATGGGTGATAGGTCTGTTCAGTGACGGTGGTCAAGACAATAAGACGCCAAAGCCATTGTCTAGCAACCGTCTAGGCTTATGGGTAATAGGTCTGTTAGGTCTGTTCAGTGGCGGTGGTCAAGACAACAAGACGCCAAAGCCATCGTCTAGCAACCGGCAGCAATGTCTCATCTACAACAAAGTTTACCACGACAACACCCGATCTCCGTCCTTTCCTGTTGGATCTCTAAGACCTCATAGCCCCATCAAATATCAGTCACCCACATACCCCTCGTCCCCTACATCTCACGAATGCTCCGCCGAATACTCCGAACTTTCTTTGTCTCCTCCCAAACTCGCCGAAACAGTGACAGACATTCACGCCCCAAATACAGAGCCCGATCCTCAATCCATCTTCTCCAACTTCGAAGGCCGCAGCGATTGCCCAACACCCGGCTTCACATACATCATCCTCCACCACCCTACCAGCCGCGGCCTGAGCATAATCAAGGGCGAGCCGACTCTACATCGCGTCCCCGAGCCGAAACCCGGTATATCACATCCATTGCTGCTCGAAGGCAAGACCAACTGGCACTGGGAATGCGTGGAGGCAGACAACTGGCTTAGCTTCCGCAACGCCGCCACTGGGAGGTTTCTCGGCTACGACACTGACGGGAACGAAAATCCGAGATGGGGAAACATTCAATGCTCAAGCAGTTGGCCTGGGATATCAGAGAAGTTTGCTTTTTTGAGCTTGAAATCCGGGGATATAGCTTCAAGCGCGATGCTCTCAAAAGGGGAAGTGGATGGTTCTGAGGCCTTTGAACGAGAAGACGAAAACATAATCAAGGATGAAATTATAGTCAAAGAGTGCCGGACAGCAGAAGGAAATATTGAGGACCTTGGGGATGTTGGAAAGTGTGAGGTGGAGTCAGAGCCGCAGGTTCAGACAGTCGCACTGTATTCACTTCTTGTACAGCCGCGGAGGTTGACGCCGTCTGATCATCTTCATCGGAACACGGGTTGCCCATATCATGCGCCTCGGTTCCGGAAGCTGGTCAAGGTACAGGTGAAGCCGGAGAGCCTTGCGGAGGGGTCGCAAGTACTTGTGGTTTGGGATGCTGATGAGGACGCGGGCACGGTTTGGAGGTTTGTGAAGGTCGTTCCGCCAGGGAAAGAATCAGTTGAGGAGGAGGTTATGGCTTGAACTAAAGGCATTTTTGGGGTGTTCTTAGAAAGTGTGTTGAGCGTGTTCCTAGCCTTTGATTGATGGCATGGCATGGTTGATTTTCTTTACCCATCGAGTCAGATATTCGGAAGGCCGGCGTAACACTTGATGAAGGCCAATGACATACTTATGAGTCTGTCATAAGCTCTTGGAATACATTCAGCGAGCGAGGGGAGAAGTTACAAGGAGTTCTGTTCTTATAGATTATTTTTCGGTGTGTTTCGAACCTTCTTTGGTGTTGGTGGGCGTCCTGATTATTTCTTGATGGTGACAAAACAAAACTAGGCAAAAGATCATAAAGCATATTACCCATTATGGTATTCTTTCTCCTCTGCCCCTCCATGAGAAAGATGACCAGCGCTACAGTATGAAGGAGGTCCAGAAAGGTGCAAAAAGAAACTCGAAGAAACTAACAAAAGAATAGCTATGTCGCCCAGGAGCTAGAATCAAGTTGACGGCCTCATCATTGTCAGTTATGCTCTCCATTTTCATAATCAATCAGTGTCTTGCGAAATACGTATGACCGCTCTTTGTGGTGTTTTATAGCTTATTGCGTCCTGCCAACACCTTCCGAAACACTCACGCTTTGTCATGTCGCGCTTTCCACTCATATAAGGTTGCCACATGATTACCGTGGAGAGAAGTCACTACCCAAGCATAGATTACCTATGTTTGGATCTGGAAAGAGCACAGCCCACAGTGGATTTCTTACAAGGAAAGGGCCATCAACCGGGTTGCGCTCCTGAAGTGACATGCCTCCTTTCGACGAAATTTGTCTTCTCTGATCCTTTAACTCGTCAAGCAAAAAAGCATTTTCCATAATTCGAAGACGAGGAACATCTTAGCTCCCTTGTTACACTGGATCTCAGTTTCACCGCCTCCACCCTCCAACAACGGGACGGACCTGGTATATCTCTCGCCAAACCTCACTCTTGCGGTGCATACCATGTCATCGGGTACCCGTATATCTCCAAAAGGTCTCCTCCATTCATGGGGCAATATGTTCAGCCACTTACCGACCAACATTAAGCACTTCCGCTACGGTGGTACCAGCACAAATGGCAGAGAGCAACCTGAAAATGAAGATCCGAGTTAAGTATCCGCAGGATGCCCCTATCAAAAGCCTCGTTCTGTTTCGTACGCCCTGGTGGTTGCATAAGAGGGACTAGACTTCGAGTGTCTCAAACTCGGTCCTGGGAGGTTGGTACGACCTAAAGACACCATTGATCATTTGTCTTCTACTCTGTATTACCCCCCTTTTTTTTCTCTTCTTTCCTATCGTAACCCAAACACTTCATGTTCAATCTATCTTTGATCATTCAATCTTCTCAACCTGAACTCAGACTCACCTACCATTCTCCATCATTGCGTACAGCCATGGAAATGATCTCCCGCTTATATCCAATGTGCGGTTACTCTTCAGTGTCTTCCCGTGGCTTTAGTCTGATCTTGCTCACCTCCGTTCTCTTCTCGAGTGTTTTCGGACAAGACCAGCAGTATTTGGATGCCCCACCTGCCAACAGATTCCTTCGTCGAAGCTATGCACGAGGTAGGTGATCGATTCCCATCATATTCGTCCTGACAAATACAGTGGTATATAATGTTCGCTAACTTCTGCACTAATTGCCAAGTAACGGTGCTGGGAAACTATGTTTATATCGACGGAGGTGAAATAAGCCAATTGATATACGGCGAAATACAACCTGGCCACTTCGCCACCGATCCCTGTAACTCGACTCTCTCCATCGACATATCACAATCATGGACCGCATCGACGGTCGAGATCAAGGTGACTCCCAAAAAGGGACCAGTGGCGCTTTCCGACCAGGCAATCTGGAATGACCCCAGTGGCGACGCCTTCCACATTTTTGGAGGACGAGCGCCGTACATGATTAACAGGGACAAGATCACGAAGGACGGGATCTGGAAATTTACGGTCGACGGCACAGGTGGCGGCACCTGGACGTTGGAACGGCCTTCAAACCCAGACGTTCTAAACAAGCTCAACTTGACCGACATGGCAGCATTCACAGCCACCCACGATTCTTCCGCCGGCGGTGTAGCCTTTGTAATAGGCGGCACGACAGCGATCACGATAGACCCAGACTCCAACAATACCTCCCCCACCATGGATCCCAAGTACTGGCATCGCACCCCGATTCCAGGTATGGTCTCTTACGACATGAAGAGCAGGACCTTCTCAAGAACCGACACCAGCGCGGCGATGCCCATGCTGACTGGTGGTCGCGCGCATTTTGTCCCTCAGTTTGGCTCCAATGGCTTGATGTTGGTTTTGGGAGGAATTATCGCTGGAGATGTTCGGGATTTCAACAATATCACTTTTTATGATCCCAAGACTGGGCAGTGGGGATGGCAGAATACGGTGGGATATGCGCCGACGGATCGGTTTGATTTTTGTATGGTGGGTGTTGCCAGCCCGGCTGGAACCTATGAACTGTAAGTGAGAACACCAAAAACATCCCATGCCTGTTTGATGTCCAGCTTGACATGCGGAATATCTGTCCCTCTGAGCCTCCGAGCATAAACTAACTTATTCTCGATTCTACTCCACGTAGTTTCATCTACGGCGGAGAGAACGAGGCCCCCAGGGCGCGTTACGCATTCTATGACGACATCTACATCCTAAGCCTCCTAGGCTTCGTCTGGCTCAAAATTGATGCACACTCAGTCGAGCCGTGCAACAACCAGGATTGCGTCGTGGTCGGAAAGCGCCAAATGCTGGTAGTAGGCGGTCTCGGTAAGAACTGGTCTACCTGGGATGAAGATCCTTTTCCCCAGGGCCTCGGCATCTTCGATTTGACTGATCTCGTCTGGAGCAAGGATGGAAACTACGATGCCGACGCAGAGGACTACAGGACCCCCAAGTTTGTGGAGGAATGGTACCAAGATAAGAATCTGTCTGCGCTATCGTGGTCGTCTGATGAGGTGAAGAGGATGTTCCTGAAGAACCCTGTTTCGTTTACCGCGACGACCTCGGGTTCGGCCCCGACTTCCATTGCTACCTCCGCCCCTGGCCCAGACTCGGGTCAGCAGTCGTCTGTTGGCAAAGCCGGATCGATTGCGGGGGGAGTGGTGGGCGGTGCCGTTATTTTGTGTATACTATCTGGGTTGGCTTATTGGCTTTGGCAGAAGAGATCGAAGCCCTCACCATCCGACGAAGAGCTTAAACCTGGTCAGAGTAATGGTAACGCACTGAAGCATTCCCCTTCCCTCGAACCCAAAAGAAAGCTTCCTACAGAAGGCCTGGCAACGGAGATGTACACCCCGCCAGATGAATTGGCATGTGGAGGAGGTATCAATGAGCGCTGGGAGCTCGACGCATCGAGTCCACCCCGAGAGCTAGATACCTCACACGGGGCGTGTGAGCTCGGTGTGGAGAGCAGTGAGGTCACTCGTTGAGTTGTTAACTATGAGCCCATTGAATAAGACGGATATCATGGTCAAGTCTATTACTTGTACAGGCTTTTTCGCTTATACTTAAACTTAATCGCTGAAGACTTGCTTTTCTCTCCCTTACGAATTGATCCTTAAAACACAACATTATCTACTCATCACCATCATCAGGCCCCTCACCAGTAGGTACCCAAACCAAGAACCCTCCCTCCTTCGCATCCACCCTCACCCCCTCAGACGCAGGAATCACCCTCAACACCTTCTGGAAGTACTTATCTCTCACAGTCAAGCCTGGCTTGATCCAGTATCCCTGCTGTTCACTCGTCTTGTCCTTTTTCTTCTTCTTTTCCTCCCTCTCTTCCGTCTCGCCCGATCCAGGTCCCAGGCTAGTAGGCAAAAGCCTATACTCCACTTCCCTTCTACTCACAGGCAACACGGGCACCGCCGACAATTTGGGGCCCGAGAAGGCGAATTCACTTGAGGTATCCATCGATACGCCAAACGTCAAGAAGTGGTTGGAGGCGTTTTCGATGATTACCCTTAAGAGGATCAGGGGAGTAAAAGAGTCTGGGTTATAGGTGTCGAGGTAGGTGACGTGGGCGAGCACGCGGGGTTCGATGCCGAAGAGGGAGAAGCGTGGGCAGGGGAGGGTGGTGGTGTTTATTACTGTTTCTTCTTCTTCTTCGGCATCTTCTTGTTCTGTAGATGGAGATGTTTCTGGAGATGAGGAAGGTGTGGGGAGCCGTTTCCATCGGATGACCATGGCCAAGTCAAGTGGTGCCGGGCCGCGATCGTCGAGACTGAATTTTTGCGCGACGATATCGAACGAGGTGGTTTCGATGGTGTGTGGTTTCATTACGTGGCCACCACCCTTTTCAACGGGAAGGTTTGAGTCGTCGTGGTGGTGGCGGGTGATTAGGCAGGTCATTGGCTCAGGAGAGCTCGTCTGGCTAGGCTGTGACTGTGGCTGTGGCTGGCGTAGAACTTTGACGTCTACGTCGACGACCTTGAGATCTTCAGAGGCGAAGGAGGCGTAGCGGGTGAGGAGAGACCAGGATTGGTGGAGGCCTTTGTAGGGCACTACTGCGTCGTTGTCCTCCTCTTCTACTTGAGACGGGAGGGAAAGAGGTTGGATGTTTTCGGCGTCGAAAAAGGAAGGCCAGGGGTCGGGGTGGACGCGCGGGAGGAGCTCATAGTTGGCTTCGAAGGGGTTGAGCACGTTGAGTTGGAAGACGGAGGTTTGGATGATGGTAGTGCCGGGGTTGGTGGACAGGTGGTAGACTACGCGGAGAGTCAACTCGTAGCGGCTGGGTCGCTCGATGGGTGGGAAATGTAAGCGGACGGTGGTGGTGGTGCTTGGCTGGATGTCGCCGAGGAAGTAAGAGGAGACCTTGGATTCGCGGCCGGAGGAGCTGCTTGTGGAAGATTTCTTCTTGTTCTCCTCCTCCTCTTCTTTTGTTTGTTGTTCTTCTGAGACGACTTCCACTGTGAAAGACGGAGCAGTCAATGACGCTTCGTCCTCGTCGCAGAATAAGAGCGCATCGAACTTGGAAGGAGCCTCGACGTCTTCGGCGTTGTAGATGTCAAAGTCGAGTGTTATCGCCTCGTTGGTGTAGTACTGTTCCTTGATCTCGCTCTTGATCTCCATCTTGGGAGGCCTTGGAAGGATTCGGAGGGACAGAGGACTGACTGGCCGGGTGATGCGCTTCCTGGTTGAGGGTGTGGGATACCAAATGTGGGTCATGTTGGGCATATCCCGGAGTTTGAGAGACTGGTGGAGGTCAAAGGACTCAGTCTCGAGTGTCGCGGTGAGAGAAAGAGCGGTTACTTCGCCTTGTTCGCGAAGTGGTATGTCCATAACGCAGACGAGAGTATAACCAGGTGAAAGAGTCAGGTCGGTGGTGCCTTGTAACTCAGTTCCTCTCTCATCCTCCTCGGCCGAGTCTTCTGTCGTCGGCTCTCTATCGCTAGGGGTGATATCCTCAAGGGGTACCGGACATAAAACAACGTTACCATGCTTTTGTCGCTTGCTGCCTTCTTCTTCTTGTATTTTATGTCTTAGTACGAGAGTGTTGATGCTGCCATTGAACTTGACCTCGATCCTGCTGAATGGTATGGGAGCGGATTCGACATGGGCGTTGGAACGGAGGCACAGTTGGGCACGGGTGGTCTGGCCTGCTTTCCCTTCCTCGTCTCTGAAGACAAAGGTAGCTGAAATAGGCGGGATGATCTGGCCATCTGCGATATTGACAAGCGGCTTGGGATCCGGCGTTATTGGTTGTAGGGACTTTGTGATGTCATATTGCCAGTTTTTGCGTTTCGTGAAGCCTATATTCTACCATCAGCAGACGAAGTCACTCAGAACTCTTGGCATCTTACCTCGGTCCAGCAATTCCCAGTCAATGGTAACGACATCACCAAGATCACCAGTCTTTGAAGCGGCTGCCCTTAGAGCCCAGCTAACTTCCTCGGCCAATGTTGGCCAGCGTTCCTTCCTGAACGACATGGTTTGCCAGATAGGCCGCAGCAACTCGACAACCTTGGCCCATTCCTGCCTGAGACTCAGTTCCCTGGCTAACTCTAGAGACAACTCAGCAGCCAGCCGTGCTTGGTCCCTCTGCAAAAACTCGTTAAGTGCTCGTGATAGGCAGTCGATGATCATGCCGTTATGATCCACACCCTTATAGGTCATGTGCTCCAGCGGAAACTCCTCGTGGGGTTCTGGACACATGAAGGTGTCATATATGAAGCCCCTGCTCGCAAGGTGAGAGGCCGGAGAAGAGCCTGGTGGTCTCCTATCGTCTTCAGGCATCGCACGAGCCCGGGCTCTCCGGGCATACAAGTGCCTGGAAGCCAGACGATACCAATAACCTGTATGGTGAAGGAACTCCCAGGGTTGTAGTCGTTCCCCCATAATGTTCTTTTCTGGGTTGAGGTAGAGTCGCATCTCAGCAGGATCAAGCTCTGGGATGCCTGCCTTCTCCATCAAGTTCGCCATGACGATTGCCCAACGTGCTTGCCAGGCCTCCCACCCATAGTTGCTGGTGCCTCTTCCAAGGCGCTCGACAAGATCCGCCATCCTTTCGCGGTGGAATTGCCACCTGCGAACGGCCGCGCTGTTCTGAGCGCCCCATAACAAGCAGCGAATGGAGCGGATGGCTATCACGTCAGCAAGAAGCCGCGCCTCGTTCCAGCGAGGACTCCAACTTGGTATTAGTTCGACAACCTCTGAGCTTAGCAGGTTCTCGTATGCTTGTTCGTAAGAGCGCAGGGCGTTCTCCATTTCCAGGCGAAATTCGGCCAGTACAGCTGACTTGAAATCATAACGAACATTCCATCCTGCCAGCGAAAGCGTTTGGGAAGTACCTGTTGTTGGTGGCACGGTTGGCGGCGGAGCAACTCCCCTTCCTCTCTTCTTTCGGGAATGCCTGCCCAGTTCTTTGTAATACTCCATTGAAGCGCCGTATAATGTGATCAACATATTCTCGGCCATGCGCGCAAGGTCTTCGTGGTTCTCGTTAGGGGGCATGAGGAAGACCGACTTGGGGTCAAGCGCACAGCCCCTGCGAATAATCTCAATGCGATCTTGGAGGTAGTCCGTGTGGTCGCCAGAAGGGTCGGACAGAAATACAATGGCGAGCTTGATCTTGTGGCCTGATTGGATCAGCAGGTTCCTCAACTTGTTCACGTCGGACTTGATGTGGTTATCGCTTAGGGTGGACTGATTTGGGTCGGAGACGAGGTTGTAGAAGCAGAGCACGACACTGGGAATCAGTTCCTGGTGTTTCAGCGTCCATTGCCCATCGATCAGGCCGTCGGGGTACAGAGGGGATATCGGAGTCAGAGGCGAGAATGGCGAATGGAGGATGGCACCCGGAGGAGCTTCTATCCCTTCGGGCAAGCGGGCGCGGCGGGGAGGCAGCAGGAAGGACTGAAGAGAATAAAATGGGTTAGAGATGAGCTAAGGTATAGTTTAGATATCATACGGCTAGAGGATACTCACCCTCTCTGCTGACTTGACCCGGAACCGGTAGCGAAGCTGGTGCTCGTATGCGATGCATGGTAAGGTCGAGGCATCCCGCTCTTGGATGTAGTGTAACAGAGCTTGCGCGGGAGGAAGATCGAGAGGAGGAAGATCGGACCGGACCTCGATGGCCTGGTCCTTGAGAGTCTTGCCCAGTTCAGGGTTGTGGGCTGAGCTGGAGTTGGGAGGGGAGACGCCGAGGGTGAGGAGGAAGGGAATGTTGTGGTCCAAGCTGCCGCGCGGATAGTTGTCCATGGTTGCTACCTGTGTATTGAGTACTGTGTATATAGAGTTGACCCGACAAGTGTGTTGGTTATAGTCGGTTCATAGTCTCGTCGTCGTCGTCGTCTTCTTCTTTTACTGATGTGCGTCTAGCGCTGTAACTCCGTAGATCGGATCGACTGCCCACGTCTCGTCTCGCGAATCGTTGGTACGTCCGAAGTCGTCAAGTTAAGTCCGTTGGCGCCCACTTACATCCGCCCCTTGTTCTCGGTAGAGGTAGGTAGATGGCCTCGGCGGTGAAGCTCCGTCTAGGTAGGCAAGGGAAGTTGAAGGAAGGGGAGTTAGGTGAAGAGAGGACTCGGAAGCCGCCGAAGTGAAGGGAAGTGATGGACGTGTGAAGTTGGACGTTCCACCGATGGAGCTCCCGCTGATGCGACGCTGTAACACAGGCGGCTGATCCGCTAGACGTCAGCGGTCCAACCGCCGCCCATGTGCCTACAGGGGTACCAAAGTGTGGGGCTTATCTTATCGGCACAGCGGTACCTGCTGAGAGCTCCAGGCACCCCCTTGCTAACAATTAATTGTACTTTTGGAGGGGAGGTTTCGCGTTGATTGATTGACTGTTTGGCAGAACCGGGCATGCAGCGCAGCAGGAAACGCGTCTCAAGGACTCAACTTCTTCTTCCCACTTCACCTCGACCACCACCCAGCCCAGGTCCCAGACTCCGGATTCTCAAGCCATGGGTCTGCGATACACATAACCTCGCTTTCTGATTTGTGCCTTGACCATCACCACTTTGCTTCGTCTTTTGGACTTTTTGGGTCATTCAGCAGCACATCCACCCATTGGCTCCCAGCGCCGTCGCCATTGAATTTGTTTTTGTTTACTTTATCCTTATTTGGGTCCAAGGCGCCTCCACAATACAATGCCTCTCAAAAAGTCTTACTCGGACGCCTATGCCCAGCCTCCCAAGGTCCGTCACAAATGGCCTTTCCTGGATGATAAGTCTTTACTAACATGGCAATGACAGCGCGGAGGATGGCAGAGGACAAGAAGCAATCCCCCCAACAAAGGACCTCTACAATCGCTAGCCCCCGTCTCGGAATCTTCCAAGAACAAGCTCCAGGCCTTCCGATCCGACGACACATCTTCCAAACCACCACCAAAGTCTGTAAAGCCCGTAAAGGCCGCCAGCAACGAACTGCAGAAAGAAAACATCAACACCACCAAGTCGATCCCCAGGAAGAGGCCATTACCAGACTCCAACGACGAGCCATCCAGCGACGCCAAAACTCCCGCAGATCGCCATTCATGGAAAGATCTGTTTGGTGTACCTGAAGTCATCACCGAAGAGGAAGATGGAGAAAAGTCGCCCGGTGACAGGGTCGACTGGAGGTCCGGAGTGCCCTTACAACTACCCGCTTCGCCAATGATCCCCAAGAATGGCAGGAGACGTGCGAAAAGCTCCTCGCCTGCCTCATCACCGGCTGCCAAGTTGACCACTCCCCACGTCGCCCTCAAGAGGTTTGCCGGCGCTTCCAAGACACCCCATGCAGATCCTGCCTCGGACTTGTGGAGCCGTTACTCTTCTAATGGAAATGAGACGAGTCCCTCAAACCACAAGAACCCCCTCTTTGCCCAGCTTATGGCATCGTCCTCACCTCGCCCGCAATCAAGCGATCGATCGCTGAGAAAGTCCGTCAGTTGCGGTTCCGCTTGGCCCAAGCGGCGCCGTACCCTTTGTCCTGATGAACAAGATAGGATCGTTTCCCAGGATACTCCCAGAAAGAAGAAGTCGAGCCTGTTGTCAGAACTACTACAATCCGTTGATGGAGAGATCGACAGCTCGAAAAAGCCAAACAGTGCTCCAGCACAGCAGAAAAAGTCACCCTCTCCCAAGAAGAAGTCACCATCAAAGAGAAAGACAACACCCCAAACCGTTCCTGACCAAAACTCCTCTCCCTCACGGAAAAAGGCCGAGCGGCAAAGTACCGAAACTGACGCCTCAAAACAACCCGAAAAGGCATCTTCGGACTACGGTGATGACGACTTTGACTTTGACGAGAGCACTCTCCTCGAACTGGACGCTAGTATCCTTGGTCAAGGCGACGGTAGCACTCTCATGGCAAGTGACGCTGTCTCGCCAGCTCCACGCGAATCGTCAAAGACCCTTGTCGATAATGACGAATTTGGTGATCTCGATGACGATATCTTTGATGGGGTAGAAGACCTGGTGGCTCAAGTTGAGTCTGCAACACAGAAACCTGCCCAGAGGTTGTCACCTAGAAAGAGACCGTCCCCCAAGAAGAGACTATCGCCTAGGAAGACGCAGTCACCCAAAAAATTGCCTCAACAGGTTGCGGGCGATGAAGATGACGAGTTTGGTGATGATTTCGGTAATGATTTTGACTTTGACGCGGTCGAAATGGCTGCGACACAACGTGCCAGCCATGCGCAAGATGTTTCCTCACATGTATGTTTATGAAAGTGAGCTTGTCGATCCGAAAGAGATGGAAGTGCGTATGCTAAGACATCTATATTAGCCTAGTCAAAAGCCTAGAGCCATACAGAGGTATCTGGTAACCAATGTTCTCGAGAGCTCCTACACGGATGACCGTGGCCGTGAATCCCCTGAGAAGGTAGAGTCTCCTCTTCAACCGTATGTGTATGTCTCCTCTACTGATATTGTCCGTTCTTAGATCCTCATCGTACAGGCTGATAGAACCAACTCTGTGCGAACGATCCATCTTCGAGGCGACTGGTTTGATACTCCCGCGAGCGTCAGCGCATACGTCCACATTATCGGCCAGTTCGAAGACCAGGGGAAATGTGTCGTCGACAACAACCAGAACATGCTGATCCTGCACCCAGATCAGCTCATCTCATCCACTGTCGTTGCCGACTCATTCAGCTGCATGCGGCGTGCGGTCTTGCAGGACAGAGTCAAAGCAACCAGTGACTTGTCACCCGCCCTTGTCTACGGTACTATTCTGCACGAGATTTTCCAGGAAGCTTTGGTAGCCAATAAATGGGATCCGGCATTCCTCACAAACGTCATCAACAAGACTCTTGAGAAGCATCTTGAGGACCTGTACATCCTCAAGGTCGGCATGGACGATGCAAAGAGTCATGTACAATCCAAGATGCCTGAACTCCGGTCTTGGGCTCAGCTGTTCGTAACTTCCCAGCCAAAGCCTGATGCTATCGTCCAAGGTCGGAACGGTGACAAGGCTACCATGTGTGTCAGCAAGCTTCTGGATGTCGAGGAACATGTCTGGTCACCCATGTATGGTCTCAAGGGCAACATCGATGCCACCGTCCAGGTCACTATGCGCGACCCCCCAGCAAGGGGCTCAAGCTCAAAGGCGTCAACGACCAAGACCTTGACCGTCCCCTTCGAGGTCAAGACCGGCAAAAATGTCAACAGCAACCATCAGGCGCAAACAGCACTCTACAACTTGCTGCTCTCGGATCGCTACGATATTGAGATTGTCTACGGTATCCTTTACTACATGGAGACATCACAGACACTGCGCATTCCCGCCGTTAGGCATGAGATCCGCCACATGATCATGCAGCGCAACCAGCTGGCTTGCTACATTCGTGAGCGGAGTGTCCAACTGCCCCCTATGAAGAAGAGCAAGAATGCGTGCGGCAGATGCTATGCTCAGACGACCTGTTTCATCTATCACAAACTTGCTGATGACGGAGATGGGGAGACGAGTGCAATGAACGAGAAGTTTGATGAAGTAGTCAACCATCTCAGCCCTACCCACAAGGAGTTCTTCTTGAAATGGGAAGAACTTCTCACCAAGGAGGAAAAGGAAAGCCAAAAGCTTCGCCGAGAGCTATGGACTATGGTCAGTACAGAGCGCGAGAAGGTTGGACGTTGCTTCGCCAATGTCATCATCGAAGAGGGCTCAGCATACGAGAATCACCAACAGATGGGCAAGACCAACCGTTTCGCCTACACCTTCATCAAGGACAAGCCTGCCCCCGGCTTTTCGTTTCTGGACTCGCAACTGACTGTGGGTGAGCCCATTGTCATTTCTGATGAACAAGGTCACTTTGCACTTGCGCTAGGCTATGTCACCTCAGTCAGAAAGACTCGCATCGCTGTTGCCGTGGACAGAAGACTGCACAATGCGCGCGTCCGACAGCCTGGCTTCGACGAGGCCGATAATCAGGTCTTTGCCAGCATCATGCAGGTTCCTGGCTCTGGTGATAACGCCCCGGAAGACCGTGAAGCCGGCCCGGTCCGCTACCGTCTAGACAAAGATGAGTTCAGCAATGGCATGGCAACAGTACGCAACAATCTTGTTCAGATCATGGCCGATGGAGTCTTTGGATCTAGGCAGATCAGGAGATTGGTTGTCGACCTTGAGGCCCCCCGCTTCAAGGCTGTGCCAACGCAGTATATTCTCCCTTCTACCGCGTCGGGTCAAGGTCTGAACGTCGATCAAAAGGCGGCTGTCGAGAAGGTCATGTCTGCTCAGGACTATGCCCTTGTGCTTGGTATGCCTGGTACGGGCAAGACGACTACCATTGCGCACATCATCCGTGCCTTGGTGGCACAGAAGAAAACAGTCTTGCTAACTTCCTACACCCACACCGCCGTGGACAACATCTTGTTGAAGCTCAAGGATGACGGGATTCCGATTCTTCGTCTCGGTCCTCCCGTCAAGGTTCACCCTGAAGTTCCTTCGTTCGCCACCCTCGCCGGCGTGCCAAAGACTTCTTTTTCGGAGATCCACGAGGCCTGGAACGACACCCCGATTGTGGCGACGACTTGCTTGGGTATCAACCACCCTGTCTTCGCCGAGCGCATCTTCGACTACTGCATAGTCGACGAGGCTTCCCAGATCACGCTTCCTATCTGTCTTGGTCCCATCCGCATGGCACGCAAGTTTGTTCTAGTCGGTGACCATAACCAGCTCCCCCCTCTCGTACAAAACGAGGAAGCTCGCCTCGGCGGTCTCGACGTGAGCTTATTCAAGCTTCTCTCCGAGAAACATCCCCAAAGTGTGGTCAATCTCGAACACCAGTACCGCATGTGCGAAGATATCATGACCCTTTCCAACACGCTCATCTACAATGGCCGGCTAAAATGCGGCACCGAAGCGTTGCGCACTACATCCCTCGAGATTCCCGACATGGACGCTCTAGCAACCAAGCACTTTGATGCCGATTCTTTCCTCGCCTACTCCGAGCAACACCCGCTTAAAGAAGGAGATAAACTCTCTTTCTGCCCCTATCCCACCCTCACTACCTGCTGGCTCCGTGATCTCCTCGACCCCTCCGCGCGCGTCCGCTTCATCAACACCGACTCCCTCCTTCCCCACTCACGCGAAGAGAAATCCACTCGCGGTCAGCGCATCGTTAACCCGCTTGAGTCCCGCATCGTCTGCCAACTAGTCGACTCGCTCCTCACTGTCGGCGTGCCCGCTTCCGAGATTGGCGTGATGACGCATTACCGCTCGCAACTGGCTTTGCTTAAGCACAATATGAAAAATACCCTAGGCGGTAGCGCAGGAGCAATAAGAGCGGGCGTTAAAGTGGCGGCTGAGGAAATCGAGATGCACACGGCCGATCGCTTCCAAGGAAGAGATAAGAGTGTCGTGGTGTTGTCCCTGGTGAGAAGTAACGAGGGGTGCAGTATCGGCGAACTACTGAAAGATTGGAGGAGGATCAACGTGGCGTTCACAAGGGCGAAGACAAAGCTGCTTGTTGTTGGTAGCCGTGAAACTTTGCGAGGGGCGTCTTCCTCGGTGGCTGGGTCTCCTTCAGCAATCGCTAGTCCCGAGCTGGGAGAAACCGGTGATGATCAGGGAGAAGGGCAAGGAGAACCAGAAGGAGGCGAAATGCTCGCCCGCTTCGTGCGCATGATGGAAGATCGCAACTGGGTGTATGAGCTCCGTGCTGGTGCTTTGGAGGGACATAGGTTTGCGGATGCGAATGCTGCTTCCACGGCTGCTGATGCTCTCAGCCCTAGGAAACCTAATCCCATCTTCAAGCCGGTTTCGCCTAGGAAGGGTTCGGCGTTATCACCATCTAAGAAGGCGAATGCGAAGCTTGCCGGGAAGGGATATAAGGTGCAGAGCAAGCTGCAGTTTGGGACGCCAAGTCAAGGGAAAGAAAATGTCGGGAGCCAAAGCCTGAAGAGCCCGAAGAAGGGTATTGTTGGTGGAGGGAAACATAACCCTAAGCGCATTGGAATCAGTGAGCGCGCAATCATGAAGGGGAGGCCGATCATGAGGGATATCATGAATGAGATTACTGATGGGAGGTTTTGAGCGGCTGCTCCTTTGAAGTATTGGTTAGGGCATCGGCTGAGCGGTTTCCATTACAGTTGGACTTGTTAGTTTTGGAGGATTTCCGGTATGGCTGTTGTGGGTGTAAGAAAGAAAAAAGTATTTAGGATTCTTGGGCGTCATGGGAAAAGTTATCGGCATCTCCTTTGGCAAACTTGGTCTTTCTTATTAGGATAGGATAGGATAGCGTTACCTGGTATTGGGATCCTGAGTGGTATTTGGTACTATGCCCATTTCTAGAATAGTACCTACGATGGATGGCAGGAAGTTCGATTGGAATCCTCTTTATTTTCAATGTTCGACTCTTTCCTTTCCAAGCAACGCTGTAGATTGATGGTGATGATGGTTCGATCTTATCATTTCTGTTTTTTTCCAGCCGGATCCACTTCATCCCATGTTTAGCCTATGAGCCTGTTCTTAATTAGCATTACTAGTGCACGATTATTGTTATCTGCTCGATAGCTTTCACTACCTACCTTAAACATCCGCTCCTCCGTTGTTTGTCGGAAAGGTTTGTTGAGTTGTTGTTCCAAACCGTCTTTTGCTATTGCAATGATGCGGTCTTAAGCACTATGTTGTGGAACTCAAAACAACAAGAACCCAACAAAGCCCGCATGGCTCAGTGGTAGAGCGCATCACTAGTAATGATGAGGTCGTCAGTTCGATTCTGGCTGTGGGCATTTGATAACCATTTCTTTTGACTTTTTTTTCTTCTTTTCTTATTCGCTCTTCATCGTTCTTGTTTGGGAATCTCTTACGCGCAAGGTTTTTTTTTTTTTTTTTTTTTTTTTTTTTTCAAAAGGGGGTTGTTATTGTTGTCGTTGTCGTTGATGATGATTCGTTCCTGTAGTGTTGCTGTCTGCAATTTTTAGTTGTGATGGAGGGGGGGGGAGGGGGGGGGGAAGGGGGGGGAATGGAAGGAGGTGCAGGTTGATGCTTTTCACTTTCAATCTATGAGGCTGTTCGCGACTTCCGATTTATGATGGATCTTGACGGAACCGAACGGAAGATAGAGGGACGCTATTCAGTTTTCTTCTCTTCTTGTCTTTTTCTTTGTATTTTCCCCCCTCCTTCCCGGGCACTTTCTCGTAGCGTCACAACCAGTCGAAACTTTCGCCTCATATTACTCCGCGTTATATTTCATTCTTCGTCGAATACGACTGTAACCGAGTTCGATGACTTGGCAGCACTTGCAGCGCCACGGCTTTCATCACCAGTCAGCAGCGACCTAGCTTTGATATCAGAGGCTGCAATGGCGTCGGATCTCTTGATTGGGCGCGAAGCATGTTGATGTGCAGAGTCAGCTGAAGCCTGAAGCACAATAGGTGGAGAGGGCCTCTTGAGTAGTTGAGAGTCGGTCAGTCATCCTTACGATGTCTTCTCCATCCCCAGACCCTTCATCTCTATCTTTTTGTCTTCGATTGTCCTTATTAGACTTGCAAAATGTATCATTTACGTTACGATATACAGATGTTACGGGAACGCCTCAAGGATGCCGCTGCACCAGGCATATATACTCTGACAAAGTACTGCCTGAGGTGCAAGAATTTATGGCTTCCCCATGGTAAGGAGGCCGGCTGTGACGGAATTGGCTTCTCAGCCAGCTTAGGGTGCCGTTATTGCATCTTTCTGCTCAACGCTCTGAAGCACTTCGACTGGATGGAAGGCTTGCACTGTTATTTCAAGCTCAGCGGGCGTAAAGGGCGCTATTATTTGACGTCCTGGGTTTTTCATGTTCAGCTTGAGCTGTACACACCAAGGGGTGGGTATAAATTTTTTATTCGAGAGGAAAGTGCTAATACCGAAGCATTCAGGCCATCCGCCAGCTTGGCACGGTATCGCTCAAGACGCCAATCCCCTTGACGCCGTTCTGAGCGGCTCGCCTCAGACATCTGAAGCCTACGAGTTTATTCGTTCCTGTCTTCGAGACTGCGACGCCAACCACCCAGAATGCAAGATAGCAGGTCAAGGACTACCCACTCGACTGTTAGACGTACATCATGAAGGCGCTCAGCAAGTGAGACTGGTCGAGACGGAGTCGCTTCCTGTGGGGCACAGCACGACCTACATAGCCCTTAGCTACTGCTGGGGTGGACGGCAGAGTTTGACGCTGAAGTCCGAGAACCTGGAGGTCATGAAGTTGGGTCTTATGGTCTCCAGTCTGCCGCAGACGTTACAAGATGCCATCGCCGTCACCCGAGCGCTAGGCCAACAGTACCTATGGGTAGACGCTTTGTGCATTATCCAAAATTCTCCAAGCGATTGGGAAGTGGAATCGTCAAAAATGGCCTCGGTATACCGTGATGCCTATCTAACTATTGCTGCTGCTACTGCCTCCGACGTTACTCACGGGTTTTTATCTCGCAATTATCGGGAGTTAAACGCTTGGTACAAGGAGCCATATCACGAGGAATGGATCAATCAGGAAGCTTGCTCGACCATTTTAGGCGCCCGACGGATACACGAAGGTCTTGGGCATGCCGATGAACATCCCCGGGTTCCTGTGCTGCCCTGGAATCTTCGCGGGTGGACGTTGCAGGAGCAATTCCTCTCGAGAAGATTGCTCAAATATCATGCTTACGAGCTTCGCTGGGTTTGTCAAAACAAATCGGCCTGCCAATGTCGTTCGGACTTGAGTTGCAGGTTATTGGCCAAAGACCCGATGGATTCGCCCACGTACAGATTAGAATCTGCCCAGCTGGCACATGACTATTGGCGCCATATTGTTAATGACTATACTGCCCGCGAGCTTACCGATGCCCGTGACAAGCTACCCGCAATTTCTGGTCTCGCGCAAGTCTTTCAGCAAGTCATACAGTCTCCATATATCGCAGGCATTTGGGAAGACCGACTGTCTTTGGGTCTCTTATGGAGGGCTTTCGACGCAAGATATGCTCCCGAGCTTTACATAGCGCCTACCTTCTCTTGGGCGTCCATATCCTCGCGGGTTGAAACGATGTTTGAGCCTGGGGACTACGGCGTACGTGATAGATGGGTCTCTCACACTGTGGTCGAAGATACTTGCTCCATTGCCGATGGCAAAGATCCACTGGGTCGGGTGAAAGGTGGCTGGATCAAACTCCGTGGTTACATCTTCAAAGCGGCTTTAATCGACGACCCGAGGGGAGGTTTTGACTATAGGTATAAGGTCAAGACCAAATTTCTTGGAAAAGAAAGATTACGTCAAGACACCTGGCTAGAGGAATTCCTAGCCACAAACGAACATGGCGACGTGCAAAGATCTGTTCGTCGAATGCGCCAGCCCTCGGGCATAACTACACACGACAATGAGCCCCCAACATCCGAAATCAAGGACGGCGCTGTTGTATATTTGCTCCTGATTGGATATGTAACTTACAACTTAATCACTGTATTTTACTTCATGGGACTAGGGTTGTCAAGCGATAAACCCGGGATGTATGAGAGACTGGGTCTTATCTTATATTGTAAATCCAAGAAGAAGTTTGAAAAATTCAAGTCAGGTCTCATCGCTGCAGCAGACGACCACAAGGTGGTTACCATTGTTTGATGTTGGGGTTATCAATAATGTTCTTCAAGGGGTCACACATGTACCTATATATACGATTCTGTGCGGATCAGGGCTGGAGTTTCTGTTGGCTTGGAAATTGCAAGACATGTTGCGCGTTTTTTTTTTCTCCCTCATTACGTCTCTTATCTTTCTTCATGTCCTTGTATTGTCGTTGGAATTGTACTTCTACTTTATGACTGTTTATGAAGATCAATTCCTTCTCACACAAGGAGCTCGCACGTTCACCCACCATCAAGCACCCAGAGCCCCGATGACCGCGAAGCGGCACTGTCATTCTGCCGCAGAAAGATCCAACAGGACAGAATCTGATGGGATCAACACACCACAGAACGAAGACACACAATTAGTACTTACGTACCTGGTAAACGAGCATAGCAAGCTACCCGAGGGAGTTAAGGGTGAGCAGACAAGATACCTTGACCACACCTCGAAGTACTGGGAGACAAAGGCATCACAACACGCCTCACTCTGACACCCACTACCAAAATGACCGAGACGACCTACGATCAGGTAGCCGAGTGAGCAATCGTAAAGGTCACTAGGTAGGATTTTACAGCCAACGCCCAGCGGAACTAGTAGTCATACATTGACAGAGCAAATAGTGAGTGAATTGTCGTTTAATCCCACCAATAGTTAGGATAAGATATCATCTCCAAGTTTCTTTCTCCTCATCCCCCTTGTGGGCATGAAACCCAAGCAACATAACCAACATCAGGCACTCCCTCTTCTTGACAAGACACGACCAACTTGTTAGTGGTTAGGTTTAGTTTACCCCTAACTGAGTGAGTGAAAGAAAGATAACTATCCAAACCCAATTTCCGAGTGACTCTTCTCCTTCCTATACTACTCCCTGCCCGTGTCAATGCCCTAGATCCCAGCTGCGGATGAAGCTACCGTCCAGCGTCTCAGTTGCTTCACTTCCACTTCCACTTCCACCTCCATTCCCCTTCAAAGAAGGAAAACAAAAGCCAAAGTAGGTACCAAATGAAACCCTCGCAAAAGTCTCTCCATATCTATCCTTCCCCTCCCCTTCCAACCTCAGAAGCCATCAAGTCCACTCAATACCCAATAATCAGGCCATCTGAACCAAGGTACCTAGGTAGTCTTGAAGGACTAGCTGGCTGGCTGGCTGGCTAACCAACTCAGTTTTCGAGGTAGGTACAGGTAGTTTACCCTTATACGGGACCATGCTCGTACCATGATCCTTCGTCCAAGTCTTCTTCTCTATGCACTCCGCACACGGAACCTGCACGTTACTCGTACAGGCAAGCCCAGGTGTCGGGTCGTGTGGATCGAGCCTGTCGCATGAGCAGTATCTCTCGTCGTAAGTGACCTCCTGGGCCTCCGTGTATTTCATGAGATGCGAGCACGAGGTCCCGGCTTGACCGTGTAGAGTGTCTTTGCGAGAGGTCCAGTCGTGCTTGTGGAAGCCGGGGTAAAGGATGTGTTTGCACATGGTGGAGTGGTTGCTGTTGGCTTTCGCGGGGGTTTGTGGTTTTTTCTCTTCTTCTTTCGGGTTGTTGAAGGGGATGAGTCTGTAAAACATGAAGGATGAGTGGGTGAACTATGATGCGTTGATTCTACAAGGTGAGGTGAGGACTCTCCTCGGCTGTTGAGGAGTGAAAGTGCGTGCTTACTTGCTTGGATCCAAGGTTTTTGAAAGCGCTTGTAGAGAATAGACCAGCTAGATAGTAGATATTCAGGAGTTTCGGATCTGGATGTGTCTGCTTCTCTCACGATCAAACTTTCTGATGAGAGAGGCCTGCTCATTTTGTACTCGAGAGGCATCATCAGGCCGTCGAGGATGTCCACTGCGATACGCGCAGAGGTCAATGAAGAAATTTCCAGCAGGTCAACGAAGAAACCTCCAACATCGTCGGTTTCCTCGCGGTGGCCAAATCGATGAGAGGATATCAACAACCAACGGACCGGTGGTTCTCGAGGATGGGCGGCTGGAATCTCGACATTGAAGACTCCATAATCAAAGGAAAACACAGCGGATGATGATGTTGGTGAACATTCGTCTTTCGGAAATATCCAACTCGCTCATCGTTCATGACACTCGGTGACGGAGGTTGTCACGGAGACTTGATGATAAAGAAAACGCTGAGTTGGTGATATCGTTGATAATCGTGTAGTTCATTCGGCTCCGGACAACAGCCAACTAACCCGGGCTTGAGATCATAACTACCTGCCTGTTGAAGGCTCGAAGCGCCTTCGTCTCGATGTCCCAGCAAGTAAGAGCCGTAGCACACGCTTGAGCCATGACTCCTGTTTCCTTGGGAAACAAAAGAAAGAGATGGCCGCCTTGTTGGTACGTGGTTGCGCGTGTTCGAAGCGTGACCAACCTGCCGCTGATCTGTTAAGTGGATGAGGAGGAAGTCATTGACACTCCGTGATGAAAAGCATTCAGTCAAGAAACAGATCTTTCAAGACCAGACCAACTGCACAATACCTTGATCGTTCATAAAGACTTGGGGATGCTGTGAATTAAGTACCTATCTACCTACCTACCTACCCGGCCGAGATCATCATTGTGATGTCGAGGTAGGTAGATATGTAGTGAAATACACTCACTACCTTGGTGCCACGAGAGATCTCAAAGAGCCGCAGAACAAGTGATGGCGAAGTCAAGTGTACAAACAACAAGTTTGATACAGTGTCGAAGAGTGCGTGCACGTCGACATCCCTGACCGCCACCTTGTAGACCGAGACGGGTCGTTGGTGATAAATTTTCTTGATATACTTTACGTAGTGGTTTGTTGCACCACGGTCTAGGCGTTGGGAATGCATAGCAAAATCTAAAATGGTTTGATGATAGAAAGAAGAGAAAAAAAAAAGGTCCGGGTGTCAGACCCGAGACAAAGGGCATGCGTTCATAAGGGACCAAAATCATAGAGGATGTAAATATGGATGAGAGGTATGGTAGGCTGACGTGACAGGACAAGATGTTGATTCAGTGCCTTGAATTCTGGATTACTTTAATTAGGTACCTCGGCGAGGAAAGTGGGGATATGAGTGAAGAGGAAAGAACACGGACTGGTCTCAGTAATATCCAAGATCACAAAGATAGATTCATGACTGTGGTAAAAGAAAAGTGGAAAAAGGGAGAAGAGGGGTGAAACCAACAAGTCTGGGTACTTGGGAGCCAGAACATGGTGGTGAATGGAGTAGGATGCAAATACAGGGTGTCTATTATATCTGATACCCGATGAGCTGGTGAACCGGTGAACCGGTGAGTTTGGCCAGGGAGGGAACCTGGAAAGCTGAGGTGGGGGAGGGTTGGCAGGGCTTGACTAGTAGTCAAACATGGTCGAGGCTGGAGAGGATGTTTGTCACCTTGGTCTGGATTTGTGGTGGCTTTCCGATATCTGGACATGGGTTGAGGCGGCTCGTTGAGGCGGCTCGTTGGGCTGGTTGGGCGGTATTAGGATGCGGATGGGGATTCAAATTGGGGATAACCACAATCATTGTTCATAAAAAGACGAGTGTCCGAAGTCATATTAACTCACAGTGCCCCCCCTTCACTTGATCACATCATTTGACCAGGCTGGTTCCTCAGACGAGACTTTCTCTTTTTTTACTCGCTACCCAAAAAATCCTTTGCTTTACCTTATCGAAGTTACATGTACATAGAAAGAAAAACCAAGTGTACATCAGCGCAGTAGTGTTGATAGGGATTAAAAAAGAAGTATTAAGTGTTAATATAAGAGTGAGCGTAAGCCGCTAAAGCCGCTCCCCCTCCCGTCTCTCTTTCCTTCCTAAAAAGCCAGAGGACTAAACAAAAAAAAAACAAAAAAAAATCAAGCCACATCTTCTTTGCTGCTTCTGCTGCTGCCATGCCACGCGGGAAAAAAAAGGGACGCGTATAAAAATCAGACATCAGTATGTAAGTAGTGCCAAGCCCAACCGTGAGGAAAAAAACGACCGACCAACCAGACCAATCACCAGTCTAGAATGTGTGAGAGTGAGAGTGTAAGCGAGAGTGCTGCGCGCGCAAAGTACATGAAATAAGAACAACCCGCAAACATGATTCCTGTTTCCTTTTCCCCCCTTTGTGACACCTGTCCCTGTTCTTTCTTGTTTTGTTGTTTTGCGAGAGAGTAGAAGTCCGGTCTCAGACCTAGGACTCCGCGTTTCAAGGCTGAGCGAGACAGTCAAGGGGTAAGGTTCAGGTAGCTAGGTAACTCCCCCAACCAACGTAGAACACCCAGACTGTCAAATCATCAAAAGTACATTTTGCTCACCCTCAGGGATACTGCAAACCAATCGCTCGCTTCCCATGCTGTCGTCATTCCATGCCAGCAGTCTTACAGTATAATCCAACAAATTTCAATCCATCAGCCAGCCCATCATAGTCGCAGCTCCCTGACGATCTGCTCCGCCAAGGCCTTGTACTGCCATGTGTTTCCGGCGAGCCTCTTGAACTGGACACCGTGGAGACTGACAATCGGAACCTTGACGATCAAGATCTCGAATTCGATCTCGTTGCCGCCTTCGGTCATTACCGTCGGTTGGCGTTCAGCGTGGTTGATGCTGGGTGTGTGGCGACAGCTGAAGCCACCCTTGATCTCATTGAACTCCACGCCAAGCACCCGCAACACTCGCTTAATATCCGCCCGTATTTCTGAGAGAGGTTTGGTCGAGGTTGTGGATACGCTGAAGATACCCTTGAGGAACACAGGCTTGACCAGATCGGGATCTTCGGGCTCTAGCCTCTCGTTGGAACCGCCCGAGGTCTCGCCTCTTATGTCGCTATCCACCAGCTCAGCATCCGTCTCTTCGCGGACAGAGTGGTGGTGGCTCTGGTAGCTTCTTTGTGGCTCTGTAGTTTGTGATTGAGCCTGCTGAGCAGCAGCCTCAGCCTCGCGCTTGGCTCGTCGCATCTGGATAGACTCCCTACGAGCGTGACCGAGCGACTTGGCGCGCATGGACATGGAACCCCGAATGGGCGGCTTGCCGTCCGTTGAGTTAGCTGTCGCTGGAGGCTCCTTTCGCCTGTCACGGGTGCTAAGTCTGCGGAGGATACCGGCGGCCGTGCTCTCTTTCTTAGCGGGGACCATATCGGGCGACAGTAGGCCACCCTGGATGGGCTCCCTAGGCTGATCCTCACTGTGCGACCTTGTCCTTTGTCGGCTCCGTGGCTCAGCATTGTGGACAGGCTGTGGCGGCACGATATCGGCGAGGGAATGCTTCTCCTTTGGTCGGATAACGGGAGAAGGAGGTACTGGCATCACTGTCTGTGATGACGAAGGTGGAGGCTGCTGTGCCTTGGATGGTTGTTGCAAGTCAATGTAGACGTGGTTGCGTTCGCGCTCGAGCTTTTCGCGGACTAGGTAGTAGATGGAAATAAGAGGATCGAACGCGTTGAGAGGATCATCGCCAAGGGAAAGACCCTCTGAACTGGCGGCAGTCAGCGTGTCCTTGCTCGTCACCGAGTTCCTTCTCTTGTAGAAATCGAAACCAAAGCCACGCTTCTTCTCGGCATCCTTCGCGATTGGTTCCGGTCGTTCTCTCTCCTTCTCGAGGCGGCGCACAGCGGCCTGGTACTTGGGCGACTTGATGCGCTTGGTCAACTCTGCTGTGATATACTCTGGAGGCCCAAACTTGAAACCAGTCATCTGCGAGATGACTTCGGGGTCGAGGGGAAGCGTCAGGGGCTCGCGGCGCGGGAGGTAGTTATCGGGAGGTCCGTTGTAACCCTTGAGCATCCAAGGGTGGTTCATGACCTCCTGCATGGTGGCTCGCTGCTTGGGGTCAGTTACCAACATGCGCGAGATCAGGTGCTTGCATTCTGCAGACAGCCAAGTTAGCATAACTTTGAGCGGAGCCAGGAACTGAGTGTTGACACATACCCGAAGAAAGCCAGTTGGGATAGTCAACCGCGCCCTTCTTGATTTTCTGATGGAGAGCGGGCATGTATTGGTCGTCAAACGGAACCTTGCCGCACACCAACACAAACAGAACGACGCCAAAGCTCCATACGTCAACCTCGGGTCCGGTATACGGCCTTGCCTGCAGAAGCTCAGGCGCGGCAAAGTACAGACTGCCGCAGTATGTCTTGAGTTTCCTATCCTCCTCTGGGGAGAAAAGGTTGCTGAGACCGAAATCGATAATCTTGATGTCGCCAGTCTTGCTGATCAGGATGTTCTCGATCTTCAAGTCGCGATGGACAATGCTGTTGCGGTGGCAATAGTCGACGGCGCTGGCTATTTGGCGGGCGAACTTGCGAGCCTGCTTCTCCTTGAGCTTACCGTGGGAAATGATGTAGTCCAGCATTTGGCCGCCATTAACGTATTCAAAAAGCATGTACCAATGCCACCTTGTTCGCAAGTTATCGCGGAGCCCGCAAATGTACTGATGGTTCAGAAGGCTAACGATAGCCGCCTCACGGGCGTTACGGTCTTCCCTAGCGGCATCGGCCTTTTCACGCTCTTCCCTCGACTGTCGGCCATCGTCGGGCGATACTCTTTCGATGATCTTGCAGGCGACCTGAACACGCGGAAACAAAGGTAAAGAGTTAGCCACAGAAACGGAACAAACGAGATGTCGCGTTTGATGGGTTGACTTGCCAATTCGTTGGTGCCCTCCTTTTTCGCCAACTTGACCTTACCCATGCTACCTTGACCAATCGTCTTGATGAAGGCATAGTTACCGGATGGCGCGGGGATCACGGTACGGTATCGCTGCTTGGTAGTGCCAGTGGCACTGCGGTGTGTCGAGACGCCGGCGTCGGCGCCATTGCGATGGTCGTCCCCGGCGCTGGCGTGGCCGTGGGGAGCGGCGGCGGCAGCAGCGGCAGCGGACATGTCGGGCTGCTGCTGATGGTGATACTGCTGCTGTTGTTGTGAAGAATGGGGGTGGTGTCTCGACGATGTGGCCGTGGAGGTGGTGGTGGTAGTGGTAGCTGCTGTGGTGGCTCCTGAAGCAGATCGCTGACTGCTCCGGCGGTGGGGACGCGAGGCTTCAGCTCTGTTGGTTGATTCGGACCGCGGCAGTGGTGGCTCGGGTCGTGATGTGGTAGGAGGACGCCGAGTCCGAACAGACTGTGATCGGATGGGGAGTTCGGCGGCGGCGCCAGAGGAGAGTGTCGTCGCCATTGGGGGGGTGGAGAAAACGCGTGTGGTGGTGGTCCTGAGGTACTCTTCTGGTCCGTCTGTAGCAAAGGGGATTTCCCAGGGTGATGGAGCCGGGTTGGCGGTAGGGCGGTCGGAGTGCTAATCCCTAGTCGCAGCCGGGGGAGGACGGGGGTCGGGGGTGTTTGTTGGTGTTGGGTGGAATCTCAATGGGCGAAGCCAATGAAGTCGAGTATAGACGAGTAGAGATGACTAGTCCACTAAATAGGGATCTGGATACGGCGTTTGGTCGATTACGAGGGTGGGTGGTGGAGGGCGGATACCCGTGTCGTGGTAGGTTATTGTCCGGACTGACCTCGTGGTGCAAGTCGCAAGATTACAGTCGGGGCCCGGGAGCCTAATTCAGGACCACGCCCAGGGCTCAGGTACAAAGCGAAATGGGCGGAATGGGGAAAAGTGGTCTCGAGCGATCCACGCAAATTCGGTTGCGAGAGAGAAGCAGTGGAGAGGGAATGTATGTAGAGGTCGGGTAGGTGAGGTGTGAAAATGCAAGGAGGGACCAGAGCGAAATGCTGCTGGTGCTGGACTGCCCGCTGCCGACGATCCAGGATTCGGGGGGTGTTGTGGTGCAGGGCAGTGTTGCAAGTTGAGATGAAGCACCTCAGCAAAAAGTGGTGCAGATTCTTGGGAGGAGCAGAGCAGTGGAAGTGCAGTCCGCAGTTCTGGCGGAGAAGGGAACTTGTGAACAAGGAAGACGGGACGGGAGCTTGGGTCTCTCTAGGTAGAGGTACGTAGCCTCGGCCCGTGCTTCGATTGGATCAGAATTGCTTCAACCTTGGCAGCCCGATGTGTCAAACGGAGGAACCTGAACCTCGAGACGGCCTTCCCGACACCAGCAACTCTTTCTTTCTTTCTTGGTGCCGACGGGGGGATGTAAGAGAACTTGAAGTGGAAGTGGTCTGTAAAAATGCCCGGAAAGACTTGGTAATTGTCATGTGGCTTATTGCCTGTGTTGTCCGTGGCCGACGGGACCTGGAATCGGGATCGCGGAAGCAATGTCAGTGGAGACAGCATGCGAGCACACCTACCTAGCACACTCTAGTGAAGGGGAAGCCTCTGGAGATGGGCCCGCTGCGAGGTTGACAAGAATTGGTGGTTGGGTTTTGTAGTGAGACAGACGGGGCGAACGGGGCGCCCTGGACAAGGGACTTGGAGTGGGCCTACCGTATGTCTTTAGTGTTACTGCTCAAGGTACTCCTGCCTCCCCTCTGTTAACACATGAGAACGTTTCTGTCCGCCTTCAAGTGTCACCGCCAGGTCGACCGCCTTTGGGAAAGAGATCAGGCCGATATCAAAACAACACAGATCTGGGGTCAAGCCATTCAGCATGATTCCAGACATCCTCGGAACCATGCCGGCGGGTATGGTTTATTTGTCAAGTCATTTTCCAGTTCTTGGGGTGAAACATGAGGTTACGTTGAAGATGGGAGCGCGCTTAACCACCACCGATGGCACTATACCGAACGCTAAACATTCAGCCTCTGGCAACTCACTCCGGGACATTGAAAATGAGAGGCACAGTAAACCTAACGAACAGACGAGGTCATCACCAACGGCTACAGTATGGTTCTCTTTCTCCTCCTGACTGTTGCCTCGAACGGTCTTCTCCAAATATTCATTTGTTGGGGACCACGGAGGGACCCAGCATCCCAAGGCAATCCGGCATCTCATTTGTGAATTGCAGTCACGATGAGAAACAAAGGACAAGGAAGGAAGGTTTCTGAACCCACATATGGGTACACTACAGTTGTCGTCCATGATCGTCCTTCTTGGCCGGCGCCCACATCCACCCTTCCACCACAACATGTTTCCCCCCCTCGAAAGCCCCTGAAGCCATTCCGATAGCCACTCCTTCGACTCGAACTGTGACATGTTCAACGGTGACTAATCGACCCCTCTACATCAATCAGCATATGGCACCCTGGACAGAAAATCTCGGTGGATGGCCGGTGAAATGCCTCCTCATGGTCTCTTACAGCCCGGATCGGGATCCGCTGTTGGCGTGGTGGGGATCTTGACGGCCTGCCCTCCGCCGCGGACCTCTTGATTCGTTCTCGACCAAGGCCGGTCCCCGACTCCCCAATGCCACGTCTACAGCACGCGGAAAAGGCCCGGCGACCTTCGAGAAGGATGCAACTCCTGGATCCGATCTGACTGGCCAGAAGCTGGGGTTTAGAGATGGGCGGCTTCAGACTGGTGCCAACAAACAATTCAGGAGATAGTCAATGCTTGTCTCCGGGACATCCTTTTTGAGCGGTTTCAGCTCGGACGGGAACTCTCAGATTTGCGATCTTCTTTCTTGACTGACACATCTCGAAAGAAGGAAGCTCTCTGTGCCACACCGCAGCCTTGATACTGCGACATTGGATATCGCGTCGCGCTCTCCGGAACGGCGGCCGTGTGTCAGGCCTGCGACTTGCGGGGAAGCTTCATCCAATGGCAGCATTGGTGCGGTGAGCGTTCCCTTTTGGAGTGCAAGGCACCAAAGCTTATCACCAGACTATTTTCAAGGAAACGGAATTGAGCTGAGTTGACAAGGGACGGAATGGTGGATGGTGTACTATGCAACCTTCTTCTTCTTCTGACTCTTGTTTCTGGCTGTTCCCATCACCTCAATCACCAGAAGTAGTCGGTGTTGTACAGCATGAGACAGCCGTTTCTCCTTGCGCGGGAGACATTTGAAGGCATTTGTTCACTCCCTTGGAATCTCGCGGTATCCACGTCGAAAGATCTGAAACGCCACAAAGGAATTTCGAGGATATGCAACAAAATGCGTAAAAAAAACAAAAAGCACCGAGATATCACGGATCGACCAACAATGCGCATCGGATATTGATTGCCAGCTGAAATGATATCATGCTGCGGATCAAAGCGATGTTTCCAGGACAGGAATATGATCTCCTCCAGGTTGTTGTTGGGTTACGGTTATCACCTCATGCGGGGTTTCCAACCGTCTAGTCGTCCTCAACAGCTTGGTGAAGCTCCAATGTGTGTCTCCTTCATCCGTGTTTGGTTTGTTCAGAAAATGAAATTTCGTCGGCTTCATTGTTTCATGATGCCGAGCAAACAACCGGGCTGCATTCCGCGGGCCGAGATGCTGCAGGCACTTCAGTTGGAAGTCCATTTTCTGCCATCTGAAGCTTGGCTCGGCGCCAGCGAACGGGCGCCCGGATCCAGCCGGTCGGGAGAGCCCGGTTCCACGGTCTGATACTATTGATTTGACATTGACTGTGGCTAAAGTTGGCCTACGCTTTCTACACTAATTCATTCTGATGCTTCCACCGTCAATTGAGTTTCAACTTCCACTTGTAGACGTAGTGACCAAATGTCCAGTCTCGAGTCTTTCAACTCTCTGGCCTCAACGCCCAGCCGGTCTTGTAAAATCACCAAAGTTTCAGGGCACCTTCTCAGGGACAGCCCCTGTCGTCGAGCGCCGTCCCCGCATCGCCCAGCGGCAGAATGACCCCGCTCCGTTCTTAGATCTGGTACCGCCTTCCCTTTTGACCAATGACATGCCTGCCCCTGCCGGCAGCTGACCAAGCAGCACCCGGAGCAGGGCAAGGCTGAACAGCACCCTACCCAGTAAATTTAGCGACCGTCGCGTTCTGTAGTGTAGCTCACGACTGGAACCACCACACCAATCTAGCGTGCATGTGCCTTTGCTGAGCTTCAGCCTCGGATTCCATACGGTAATTTGTCAACAAACGATTCCACCACCACTTCGACCACACGTCCTCTCCATGTCCTACAAGAGGTCACGCGCAACTTTCGAGGCCGACCTTACTGCTCAGCAATCACCATACGTTTTCTTCGGGACACCTCTTCCGCCGCGCGACCCCGAAGTTCGCGACGATGGATCCTACGTACCGATATGGAAGCAGGAGGTGAGGGACGAGCGAGGGAGGAAAAGACTACACGGCGCATTCACAGGAGGATTCAGTGCAGGGTATGTATAGCTCCTCTTCAAATGACCGCTCTCTGTTTTGCTAACGGCAACCTCTTCACTAGCTACTTTAACACCGTCGGCTCCAAAGAAGGATGGACACCCTCGACATTTGTCTCGTCACGCACGAACCGCCACAAAGATACCCCGAAAGCTGTCCAACAACGACCGGAGGACTTTATGGACGAGGAGGATCTTGCCGATGCTGAAGAAGCCAAGAAGATCCAGACCAACGCCGCCTTCGCCGGGCTAGGCTCGACCGCGAACGATGCCACACGAGCGAGCGGCCTCATGGGCCTCTTTCGTCCCCAGGGTGAAACCATGGGTGTGAAACTACTCAAAAAGATGGGCTGGAGGGAAGGTCAAGGCATTGGCCCCAAGGTGCGGAGGAAAGCGCGGCTCGAGCTGCAAAACGATGCGACCGCGCAGACGGAGACTTTTCTCTTTGCGCCGGAAAATGTACCCATGATTGCATTTGTGAAGAAGACGGATCGCAAGGGCTTGGGATACGCGGGAGAGAGCGGACTGACGCCAATTGGTCGATCGGCGGGGTCAAAGAAAGGCAGTCACGGTGACACGGACGACGAAGACGAGGACGACTACGGCGCACTAGGACGACCCAAACTCACAATAGGCGGGGGCCGAAAGAAGGAAACGAGCCAAATTCGAGGAGGCATAGGGATAGGTATCCTGAACGATACCGGCTCAGACGACGAAGACCCATACGAAGTCGGTCCCAAAATATCCTACAACCGAGTAATAGGCGGAGACAAGAAGAAAAAGAAGGCTACGATAGCGGCCAACCCGACGCTACAAGCAAAACCAAAGTTTATCACCAAGAAAGCAGCATCGTCGATATTAGGCAAAGTAGGGTTAGGGGTCCGCAAATGCCACGACGGCCGCCTACCACTGGACGGCTTTGTCTTCGGCAAGGAATCCGACGCGCTCACAACCGAAATCAATTCCGAAGGAAAATACCCGCCTCCCCAGATCCCTCCAGGGTGGGTATCTTCCAGGACGCCCAAACCGGAATCCGCCGGCGGGTCTCCTGCAAACTACGTCTCAACAGCCGACGTAGCCAAAGCCTCGACCCTCGACCCCAAAGCCCGCGCCGCTCTCCTTGGCGAAAAGCAGTTACCCGGAAAATCCGTCTTTGACTTCATCTCCCCGGCCTCTCGCGACCGTCTCGCCGCCGTCACGGGCCGCTCCGACCTGCCGCAAGCTCTCGGCGAAGTGCCGGCCGCCTACGCCCGCAGTGAAGCCGAAAAGCAGCAAGAGCTTCTCGATCGCGTTCCCAAACTCGACAAGGAAACCGCCATTGCCGCCATCTCGCGTGGCATCGGGGGTGGCGCGCCCTATGCGGAAGACGAGGAGAAGCGCGCACGGTACAGAGGCTATTTGGAGGTCCAGGCGGGGTTCAGACCGCAATTACCACCGAAACCGGCGAAGTTGACGGATGAGGAGTGGCTGAGGGAGTTTCATGAGTTTTTCAATTGCGCGAGGATCTTTAAGCCGATGACGGGGTTCATGGCTAGTCGGTTTACTACGTCGTCTTCTACGAAGTCCTCGGCATCAACTACGGGAGACACGAAGGAGGTGGTGTCAAGGCCGCCGCCAAAACCAGAAGACCCGGCAGAGGAAGCGGCGAGATTGGGCATGTTTGGCACCATGACTAGGTCGGTTACGGATTTTTATCCTACGAGACTGTTGTGTAAACGGTTTGGAGTTAAGCCGCCGGCGCATGTTCAGCCGGATAATTACGATGCCACTAGTGGGAAGAAGAAGGATGACGTTTGGTCGCAGTTCCAGTCGTACGGGTATCAGGGTGGAGGAGGACCCGGTACTGTGGAGAGGGAATTGTTGGGGTTGGAGTTTGGGAGTACTGGCGGCGGAGGAGGGAGTACAGCCATGGCTGATTTAGAAAGAGGCGGAGAGGCACAGAAGCCTGCTGCTGTGGTACTTGATACGTCAAGGAATGAAGCGTTGGAAGGGAAGAGGCCGGGTGATGAAGTGTTTAAGGCCATTTTTGGGGATAGTGATGATGACGAGTGATGGAGTTTTGGAAGAACCTTGATGGTTTATGAAGTACCCTGATGGCCAAGTAGGTCAGGGGCAGGGTTAGGGTTGTACCCACATGTGTCACCAACAGACACTGAAGTACAGAGGTGTGAATAGGATCACTCACCAACCAAAATTCAAAACCTATAGAGCTTTCGAACAGCATACTTAATTCTCCCCAAATTGTTATATGCACGAGACAGTGACAACCGGTAACCGTGATGTTGGTCTGTCGACTTGATGATTGGTTGGTAGACGGGCGGCTACAGAATAAGCGGGACTAACAATTGGCAGCTCGAGCAGTGATTGGCAATTCCAGCGCCTCAGCGGTAATTTCACAGCGTGACAGCACCAGTACCCCTTGCTCGGTCTTTGCATTTCCATCCGGGGGGGGGGGGGGGGGATCCATCGAGGTGCTGCAAGTTGCAGACTGGAGTGCCCTGAACATCCTTGAACCATTTCTTGTCTGTGTGTCAATCGAATCGATGTCAGTGTGAATGCCGTCGGTGCTGTCAACTTTGACAACCCAGGCAGGTACGGGTTGTTGTGCTTGCAGGATTCGCCTGTCGTCTCCCGTCTTGCCGTCCCGTCTTCTTGTTTCTTTTCGCGTCATGTCTTTACAATACTACAGTACCTACCTTACATGCTAATCTAGTCTAAGAATGGACCTGCCTCTCACGCCAGAGATACAGGTCCCTCGGTTGTTCTTTGAAGTAGGTAGTGTGGTTTCCTCTTCAAGGTAACGTATGTATCTTCTTTGTTTGCTTGTTTAGGACATCCATCTCCACCAAGTTCATGTCGAGTCCATTACCACGGTGTCCTTCCAGAAAGCAAAACCTGTCACGAACGAACGACCCTTTTTATGATTCTGGACCGTTCACTTCCGCCCGGACCATCTCAGACGACCTAGGGAAGGGACCAGGGCCATGTAATTAGACGATTGGACCAGCTAGCGTGCAGCCTAGTCCAGGCGATCTACCTCAGATTGGGCAGTGGAGGCTCGCAGTTAATTACGCCCAGGTACTTGCTGGGTATATCAGCCATGGTAATAGCATCCCACTCTCCCCGAAGAGGAACCCCAATCTTACTTTAGCCCTTCACCTAATCCTAATCCCCGACCATTGTCCGCCAACAACATCATTCATCCGTCCCATCCAATTCAACAAAGTCGCGCCGGGTTCCCACCATTGCCGTCTCCATCGATTTCATGCAATCAATTAATTGATTGACTGTGTGTGTGTGTGTGTCCGTCCCAGGCCCCGTTAGAGGTAAGGTCCATCAAGCAAGACTCTTGATGGGAACACACGAGGACGAGGTGGAAATGGAAAGAATGTCAGGAAGCAAACACACAACACTCCATCGCTGTCGCTGTCATCACCACCACCCACCTTGAGGAACAACACTGTGACGACTGGGTCCATGGAAACTTGGCTAACGTTTCTTCGGCTCCCCCAGCTTTATCCGTCACGTCCCTACAGGTAGCCCCTTATATTAGATACCAAATCACGACCGAATTAATTCCCAATTGCGACACCCACCCCCGTCGTCACCCTGTCTGCGCCGCGAGATTCCAGCTGCTCGTCCCCCGGGCCCATCTTCAACCTCCCTCCACATCACCACAGGACCTCTCGCCTTTCTCTCCCCAAACGGCGTAGCGCAGAAGCAGACTCTGGATTGCTACCCGACCTGGACCTGGACCTGAACCTGAACCTGAACCTGGACAACCTAGCCCTGGATCACCATCACCTGCCCGACGACAACAACACCACCGCCATACCCGAGACACTTCTGCCGGGTCTTGTCTGCTTCACTGCAGAGGTCAACGACTTCTGTCGCTCAACTACTACTACCACCGCCGCTGTCGCCGGTCCTGAGCCACCATCGGCTACTCGTTCTCCGCCACCCCAATACCCGGCGTCCGAGTCCTCTTCAGCTGGACGACCTCCGCCTTTCTCGTCGCTCTTTGCCAGTCCATCAGCGGACCCCGAACTTTCCAACTCAGCATCCGTCTTTGAACCATTCGACAGCAAGTACGCTGCCGTTTCAGTCACCGATTTCGATAATAACGACGTCGTCGACGACCCAGACGAATTTAACGAAGTCGCATCCTCGAAATCTGCCGCCCCAGCTTACGCGCCGTCCGATCCATTTGTTGCTGTACATTACCCGTCAGGAGTAGGAAGCAGTAGTAGTGCTTTTATCACCACCGCGCCTTCAACATCGTCCCCGGGATTCCAGCTCCAGGACGAAACCAAGCAAGCGCTAAACTCTCAAAAGGAGGATATCAAGGGCGAGTCATCTCGCAGCAAGGAGGAAGAAGCAGAGCCGCCACCGGCATATTCGGAGGGATCCAGTCCTCTCCTCTCTTTCACATATCTAATGGCTGCCGCGGGAGGAGCGTCGAGTATCATTACTCAGGTCCAGCAGGGTGGACCGCCTATTAATGCCCTGGGAGGTGAGTTGGATTGGATTCATGGAAATGGACAATTGGAGAATTGTTGGAATTAAACAGAGGTTAACAATGGGTTTGCTGGATAGATGTCGCCCCCGATGAGACGATTACTATGGACCTGCGGTAAGAATTCACTCTGAAGTATGCTGTAAAACGGATGGTTTGCTGATTTACTGAACAGGGGAACGCGGTTCACACTATCACGCGATGAGTTGCTAACGTTGCCCGAATTTGTACTTTTGTCCCTCTTTCCCAATGGACTCTTCCCCGAAGGACACATGGGTGGCTTTGGCGAGGGAGATGCCGTACAAGTTGACGTAAGTTTGCGCGCGCATCAATCTTCTATCCAGCTCATCGCTAACTTGATCCACAGTACGACCCAGCATCCCTACAATACATGCTGGAGTTCTTCCGCACAGTAGCCCAGTCCATTCCCGTAGACCCTTCCAACCCCCAAGATGGCGGTGACGGCATAGTACCCGTCGATCCGGCATCCGGCGCACGGGGCGATGACGGTTCTAAGCGTGCTGGCATCATTGTGCTGCGTGAGGACCTGGACTTTTACGCCATCCCCCCTCGCGCTGACCTTGGTCAGGCTGAGATGATGGAGATCAAGCGCGCGGCTGCTCGGGCGCTGCTCAAGCAGGACGGCATCTTCAGCGGGCTGAAGAAGAGTGACGAGCCGGGCACGACGGAGGCGCATTTGATCGAGATGTTGACTGCTGGGTAAGTTTCGGTCCTCGCTTCGCCTATTGGGGCTTCCCTTCCACTGTTAATAGAGTGCTAACTGTATCTACAGCGGCTTCAACCACGACGATCGCTGGGGCCACCGTGCCGGCGAGCCTAACAAGGCCGTTATCTGCTCCCTTGCCCTCGCTCGCCTGCGCTCCGACATTAAGGGCAACGAGATGGGCAGCAACGCCGTGGGCATGGCCCAGAAGCTTCTGCTCTTCTGGCGCAAGCCCGCTCGCAGGTGCTGGTGGGAGGGTGTCGAGCTTGAGGGTGTCGAAGGTCTCGAGCCTGGCACGAAGCTCAAGGTGTGGATCCGCAGGGTGTGGACGCTGGAGATGAGCGTGATTGGACTGCGTTAGGGACTCGGCAATCTAGAGCTCAGTCAGGCTTTCTATGCACCAGGGCTAGTGGATGGTGTGGGTGGACTCGATGGAGTTGAAGAAGAAGAAGAGGAGGATAAGAAATATAAGAACGAGATCATTGATGGGTTAGAGGAGCTTGTGGAGATGGGGGTGGAAGAGTAAGGAGTAAAGGCTCGTCAGGCGGGGGATTATGTTTGTACCTGGTCTTGCCTGGGTTGGTTCTTTTCAGGTGTCGGATTGGTGTGATTGGTTTTTGGGAGGGCAGGTTAGGGAAGGGAAGCAGCTCTTTCAGTTTGATATACCACTTGGGCTTTTTTTTATGTTACGTTCTTTGTTAGGTAGTTTGTTGTTGTTGTTGTAGAAGTTGAATGTTGAGAGAGAGAGCAATAAGGCAAAACCGTTATGGCGTCACGTCAGCATAATACCTACAGTAGAGGAGAGCAAGTTGAAGTTAGTATGTACCTAGAGGTAGTTATACCTGCTTCGTCTTGTTTTCGTAGGTAAGGTCGTGCCAATCATTCTGTGTATAGCTGTCCTTTGCTTCCATCTCGACAGAGAACTCGCAGCATTAAGCATCTCTACAAGCTCACTATTTCCCTCACCACCTTGAGAGTTTTGCGTCTTGAACCCAATTTCCAGGTCTCATCCCATCCGTCATGTCAAGGCATATGCCGGTGTCTGCTGCAGGTCTGCCTCATGCCTGCCTGCCTTGCTTGCTCTGCCAACTCCCATCCAAACCCATGCCCTAAAGCAAGAAAGACAGAGCAGTTGGAAGGCACACCTCGTGCACAACACTGCAGTAGAAGAAATTCACCTTTGGACGATGACCGGCACAGAAGGAGCTTAGGACTCTTCAGGAAGGAACGAAGAAGCCATTCCGTCCCCAGTTTGAGCCGGCTGCTGTGGCTGATTGGGACTGCAATAAAAACTCACAGCCTCCAGACTTTCGGCCAGTTTCTCTCTCTCTCTTCTTTCACAGCTTCAAGCACATTTTACCACTTCTTTCTGGGTTGAATCATCCCTTTTGCTTATCTATTTGGTCATCATCGCAGTTTTGGTTCAAGAATAGCCATCGTCGCACTTCCGGTTCAAGCATACTGGTCTGATCAACCCGGTCGGTTGGATGAACGTCTAGCTTCTCCTCTTGTCGGTTCGAAAAGGTAACTCCCATATCGCGCTATCAAGCACATCAAAATCACTCTGTCTTTTCCAGAAACAGCCTGTCGAGCTCATACACAATCATCAGTTTAGTTGCTCTACTCGTGGTAACCGAGTCCCTTGATCTTGTCTAATCTGACTTCCAAGTCTTTAGCTGATTCATCTGACCAAAGCCGTCAGTCAACAGCCATCAAGACAATCTACTTGAACGAAAGTCTCTCACCACCATAACAACAACAGCAACCCAAGATCAAACTGAAAAGGCACTCACCATGTCCTATTCGCAACAAAACAGCTTCCTCGTTTCAAGATCAGAAATGGTCCCCCCAGTCCCACCCTCCGGCATCTGGGCCTCCCCTATAACCCTCTTCAACCTCCGCGACATCATCGACTTCCAGTCCCAAATCTCTTACTTCCAATACCTCTCCTCGCCCAAAATCGGTCTCGCGGGCTTTTTCGTCTTCGGCACCGAATCCGAAGCCTCCCTACTCACCCGCCAAGAACGCCGCGACCTCCTCCGCTGCGCGCGCGACTCGGTTCCTCTCGGTTTTCCCATCATGGCAGGCGTTTCGGCCCCCAGCGTGAGACAGGTGCGTGAGCACATCATCGATGCGATTGCATCCGGGGCTAATTACGTGGTTGTTTCACCACCTGTTGGGTCTGAACCGAACAAAAAGGGAAGCAAGCAACAAAATGAAACGGTGGACGCGTTTTTCGACGATATCGCCAACTACTCCCAGTTACGGATCCTAATCTCTGACGAAGACGGCGGGATCGACCTCACCAGCGAACTTATAATCCGTCAAGCCCTGCGCCACAAAGGCAAGATCGTCGGCGCCCACTTGCGGTCCGGCAGTAACGTGGTCGGCAAAATCACCCGACTAGCCAGGGAATTCCTCCCCTCTAGAAAAGAATTTGCCATCTTTGCGGGGCAAAGCGATTACTTGGTCGGCGGACTGGCAGCCGGGTCAAGCGGGTGCATCACGGCGTTTGGGAATGTGCTGCCGTGGGCGTTGGTGTGGCAGTATCATGAGTATGTGAATGGGGAGAAGAATAATGATAAGGTGAAGAGGGCGGATGCGCTGCGCGTCAGTGGGATGTTGGCTAAAGTGGAGGAACAGCTGTTAGAGAGTGGTGGGGGGATTGCCGCGATCAAGTTTGCTGCGAGCTTGTATACGGGGTGGAGGGCCGGGGTGGTGAAGGGGACGGGGACGACGCGGAGGTATCCAATGGCGACGGCGGGGCATAAGGGGATGGAACTGTTTTTGCCGAGGAAGCCACAGGCGGATATTAGTATGGAGATGAAAGACAAGATTTGGAAGGCGGTAAATTGGGCGTTGGACTTGGAGAGGGATCCGGTTGCGGATTATGATTTGTTGGAGAAGGAAAAGGCGGAGGGGTCAAGGAACTGATGGCGTAAGAATGGGATAGAAAGGCATCAAGAGACGGCGAGAGGATTGTATTGCGTGGTAACCTTTGTTGTTGTTTTTGTTCAGCGGACATCACAAGATTAAGCTTCGGCAAATTGATGTAGCCAACGGTTGATGACATACGTACAAGCAAATAACTTTTTTCTATCCTTACCCCCAAATTGTACATTTATAAACTTACCATGGACACACAAGCACATACATGACTTGAAGTGGTCTTCGTTCTGATATTACCATCGCCTCTTCCACCTCAAACCTACCATCTCCTCCCCAAATCCACCTCCCTAACCAGCCTCATCTTCTCGTCTTCAACATCATCCGCTTTCTTCACCCCAACAAACCCCCCAACAGCCTCCCTCACCACCCCCTCCCAAAACCCACCCACAACCCCCTTCAACTCGCCCGTCTGCTTAAAGTCCGGAAAAGCATTAACCTCCAACAACCACGCCGTGTTTCTTCCACTCTCATCATCCGCATCCACCAGGAAATCCAGTCCATACACTTCAAACGCCTGTTCCATCGGCTGGAAATGAATCATCATGCCCCTCGCTGCCGCTTCAAACAAGTCACCCGTGACTTCACAGATCTGGTCCCAGATATTTTCTGCTTTAGATTGCGGGAAATGCGTCGGCGAAAGGGAAGGTAAGTCCCAGAAGCGGTGGACGGAGTTTTCGGCTGCGTTGGGAGAGAGGTAGGTTTGGAGACAGGTGTTGGTTAGGTGGGCTGAGAGGTCGAGTTCGGAGTCGGGGTTGGAGTCGGGGTCAGAGGAGGAGGTGGTTGGGGACGTATAAGGGACGCCGGCGAATAAAGCGAGCATGTCCTTGTAGACGTAGACTTTGAGGGCGCCGATGGCGAGGACGTACACCCTGATATGGAACTTGCGGTTTGAGAGTTCGGGGAGCAAGAGGGGCGGGTGGATGTAGGGTTGGGCGATGAAGTGGCGGAGGTGGGAGGTGTTGATTCCGTTTCCGCCGGCGTCGGAGTCGTCGTCGGAGTCGTCGTCGGAGTCGTCGTCGGAGTCGTCGTCGGAGTCGTCGTCGTCGTCTTTTTGGGTGGTTTCGTCGTCATCTTCGTCTTCGGAATCGGAATCGACTTCCCAGCTATCAAAAATGGTTTGAAGTTCGTCCATCGTGCTGAATAATCGAATTCCTTGTCCGCGATCACTCATGCTTGGTTTCAGAATCCACCATTCTACTTCCTTTTCTTTTCCTTCGGCAATGAGTTGGTCGTTCTTCTCCATGCTCGCGCGCAGGTCGAAGGCTTCAACCAAAGAATCATCCAAGAACTCGGCGTAATCGACTTCGAAGGCTTCAGCCCTCTTCACGTGCGTCTTCAAAGCGGAGGTAGGGTGTTTGGCGACCCAGTTCTCGACGGTGGACGACAAAAAGTGCTTGCGGATGAGGGCTTTGCGGATGATGTAGGAGTTGATGAGGGTGGTGGCGGGGTGGGACATGGCGTGGTCGAAATCGATGGTTTCGTAGGGGGTTATTTGGAGGATCTTGGCGTCGCTAGAGGGAAGAAGGGTAGAGAGATGGATCTCGGGTTCCTTGTTTTCGGGTGTGAAAGGAGACGGGAGGAGGGTGTATGACGAAGAGGGGAGGAGTTTCTCGATGGCGGAGAGAATGAGGGGTTGGACGTAGGCGTCTTGGTAGTCGATTAGGGCGTAGAGGTGGTCTTTGGAATTGGTGGTGGTGGAATTCCGGATGGGGAGAGTGGTCGTAGACTCGGTCTTGGTCTTGGTAGCTGAGGGTGTCTCAAGAGGAGGCCTGTATCGAAGCTGGTTAGGATCGTGACCACCAGTAAAGAAAGAAGCACACAATATTCATAGTGACAGGAGTGAGCCAGATCAAGAACATTCTTGTCTATTTCACCTTTCTATGCTCTCTCTATCTGATTAGATAGCAGGTAGTAATTCATGCGATTCATTAACTCTTGATCATCAACCGTGCCGTCGTTGCCGTAGTCTGTCGTCTCCATGTCTCATAACCATCTGTTGTCGTTCCTCTCATGAAAGCGCTGTCTTGTCGTCACGCCAAAGGGCAACAACCATAACCAAAGCCAACGCGAAGCCAACGCAAAACCAATCACACAAACTTACAGCTGCAACTCTTTGCCGTGCAAATTCTCGGCCGTATTCCAGAAGTTGGCTTTGAGCGGGGTGACACTGTATCGATCCTCGTTAGCAAATGTTCCCCCCCCAACTCCCAACCGAATACTTTTGAAAAAACTCACCTGGTATGCCCCTCCTTGACCGCCCACCCATCATTCCCCGGCGGCGCCTCCTCCACACTCTTATAGACATCCGTAAACCTTGGACTCCACTTAAAGTGCTTATGGGTATGCAACCCTTCCCTTCCGTCCCTCTTACCATCACCCACATCCAGACCACCACCACCATCCCCCGTCTCGGCATCTGCGCCCCCGCCCTCTCTGATCCGTTCCTCATCTACCTCCTCGCCATCCACCGACCCTTCCACCTCCTCAAAACAGCTGCCCGCCCCCCAATAATTCTGCAACATGGGCGTGTACAACACTTTGCCCTCCTCTAGTCCCTCCAACAGCGGGACATTGACACTGTACAGATCCACAGATCCATCCGTCGGCCACTGCTTCCACAACGCCTCAATCACCCGCACCGACTGCCGGCTCGCCTTGGTGATGATGGCCGGGTCGTGGTTGCGGTTGAAAAAGGCATAAGACAGCGCAATGGCGCGACGCTTGCACACGGCCGCTTCCAGTGCGCCGCCCAAGGTTCCGGACGACAAGGCAAAGACGGCCGTGGTGTTGCGCCCGTAGTTGGGGCCGGACACGACGAGGTCGACGGGCCCACGGTCTTGGAAGAAGTGGTAGAGCCCGATTTGCACGCACGAGGCGGGCGTGCCGTCGACGAGGATCCATTCTTCTGTTCCCGGCACGGTGGAGGGGCGGAGGTGGACGGAGCCGTGGTCGGTTACGTTGACGACTTGCTCGGGTTTTTCAGAGGAAGGGACGAGAGCGGTGGTCAGGCCGGCGGCCGGGGAGGAGGCGGGGGGCGGGCGGTAGTAGAGCGGCTTGACGGTTTGGCCGATCATGTGGGCTTTGCCGATCCAGGAGCGTTGAGTGTGCGGCAGGCAGACGGAGACGGTGTGGCCTGCGGCTTGCAGCCCGCGGACGAGGGAGTGGACGTAGGGGGAAGAGTGGGCGGAGGGAGGCCCGTCGTCGTTGACTATGAGGATGTGCATGTTGGTCTGGTTGTGTGAAGTGATAGAGAAGTGAATGCAGTTGTTGTTGTTGTTGTTGTTGTGTGTATAGTCAGGATCCTCGACAATGAAACCTGGGAAAATCTTCAGGTACGAGCGAGTCCAGAAAACCGAATGGACAAGAATCCGACGTCTTCTTCAAGGGTTGAAATTTGGAGAAAGAAATCGAGTTGCGGTTGGTCCCGAACGATGTTTTGCTGGGCCCCATGATGCGATTGCGGGGGTGGGGCCGGGCATCAAAACAAGCTGAAAGAGTGGAGCGGCCCCTGGATGGATTTGGGTTCGTTCTTTGCGGAATGATGATCCGAGAGACGTGTTTGTGCATATCTGCCTGACTAATTTGACTAAAAGTTGCCGCTGGTGAGAGGAATGGACAACGAGTTTGCCAGACTTTACGACTGCTCCCCTATACGTTGGCATATGCATGTTTGAGTGTCGTGGAAGGGGGTGCATAACTGTGCTATCAAACTGGCTTGTCCAAAGGAGTTGACCAGTCTCTCGACGTCTCCTACAGAGTAAAAGCAAACTGCGACGTAGATATTGATTTGGTTGGCTCTCCTTGTGCCCATCAATCTCAGAGCTGACTAAACCGTATCGAAACCTCGTTCTCCTCCAAGCCTGACACGTTGAGCACACCAGAGACCACTCAAACTGATCGATGACTGCATAAGGTCTGACTAAACTATCTAGACTAACTTGTAGCCTTGCATCCAGGTTGTGTGATATCCCGACCCTATCTAGACGTCATTTGACCGAGTATCGGATGAAGTCCAGATTCATGCCCCTATGCCATCAAATGAATGGACCACATCCCCACACAACCAATGTCATCAGTCTATCTACGACCCAGAGCGGCATCAGAACATGGGTAACATGAACGGAAGAGAATCTCAAATGTTTCAGTAATTGTAGCCTAGCCTGCCTTTTGTCCCTCGTGAAGCAACAATCAACAAGTCAAGGAAAGAAGTGAAAACAACCCGAAACGGAAATAACAACAGGTGCAGTGCAATCTTGCCATGCTATACCATGCCATGCACTTGTACAACACAAAGTGAGAAAAAGAAAAGGAAAACAAAAGTGGAACGAGGGAAAAGGAAGAAAGGGGATGAATGCCTTCGCGGGCCCCACCACTCCCAAATTCCAGTCACAGAATCTCCCATCCAGACGTTGATAAATCACCAGACATGCAATCTTTCCATGAACGCGAAACAAAAAGTAACCACCAATCCCGAATAAGTTGCTCCACATAATTCTCTCTCTGTCTCGTGTGGTATGTTCGTCGTCTTGTGCCCGTGTGGCTGCCCTTGTGCCTTGTCGATTGCCCTGTCCTAAAAGATAAAACGCCTTGCGTAGTGATCCATGTTCCCAACGCCTCCAAACCCCGTTGTTGAGTGTCCAGTCCCGTCAAAAGCAATAATGTTTGAGATGTCAAAGCCAAGCCAGTGTAATGGTCATGCCGTCCGCCGGCGCCGGAAAAAAACCCTTTTGAAAGGAAACGCACAAAGACCACCACCCATTAAATTGTGTACCATCTGCCAGCGCGTGATCAAGTCCTAGTTCGCTTAGCTGGACCGGCTCCAACCGATGGTGTTTCGCTGGCTCTCTTTGTACCAGCACTGGAAGATGCACCGGCCTTGGTTCGACGGAAGGCGTCAAATGGACTCTTCCTTCCCTTGGGTTTGACCTTTTTGGGGGTGTCTTCTGCAGCCTTCTTGCTGCCAGCTCTTGTGGTGCGTGCTGTGGCTGGCGGTGAAGCTGGTGCTAACGGTGTCGTCTCGGGGGTGCTGGCTCTTTCCTTGTCTGCCTCTTGGGGCTCAGTAAGGGGCTTCTCCTTGGCCTCTTCGGCTGGCATCTCAGGCTCGATGACCTCCTCCTTCTCCTCCTCCTTCTCCTGTTTCTTCTCCTCTTCGGTCTTCAGGCTCTCCAAGACGTGGTCCTCAATGTCGGTGGGCGCCTCTTCGTCTGAGTCAGGTACCTTGGCCTCTTTGGGCTTGGGTGGGAACAGCAGACGGGGCTTGATGGAGGAGCGGGTGAGAGGACGTCTCAAGGGAGAGGCAACCGCACTCTCAAACTCGCCATCAGCCTCTACCACCTCCTCTTCCACCTCAGCGAACTTGCGGAACTGCTTTTTGCCGCGGCTGTGAGCTAGTCAGTAAACGTGCTCGTAATTTCAGGGGTTTCTCAGATTTCACTCACAACATGATAAGCATGCCGTCCTTGCGGCCAACTGCCTCCTCCAAACTCACCACGCCCTCACCGGGGATGTTGACCAGATTCCGGGTGCTTCGGCGGGTCGAGGTGCGCTCAGTAGTAGTGGTGGTAGTGGTGGTAGTGGTGGTAGTTTTTGTTGTTGTCTTGGTGCCGTAAAAAGGGTTTTCAATGCTGTCATCAACCACCGGCACGCGCTCATGGGAGTCAGTGAAAATACTAATTTCCTCCTCCTCATTGCTCTGCTTCTTAGCGCGCGCCTTCTTGGGACTGGGCATGACCTCATTTTCGTCAACCTTTCTGCTGAAAAGGGTCTTTGTGACTCCCTTCAGTTGGGACTTGCTGCGCTCCGTCGGCGGCTTGATGGGAGTCTTGGCGGGGGTGATGAGGCTGCCAGCCCCAGTTGAGCGACCGAGGGGGGCGTGAAGGGAGCCATCGAGAGTTCTTGAGGCGCGATGAACTGAATCCAGGGCGGGGTTGACCGCGCGCTTCTTGACGGGCGTAAAGGTTGGGGTGACCATGGCCGACGACGATAAAGGTTCAGCAGCTTCAGTCTGATGATGGCTGTGATGATGGTGATGGGGTTGACGTTTTGTTGACTTTGGCGAACCTGTAGATTTGTGGTGGGGTGGCGGGGGTTGTTGTTGTTGTTGTTTGTCGGCAGCAGATGAGATGTGACGTCTGGGGGTTGGTTGGGGTGAAGGGGTGCGGGCGCGGCTGCGGGATGAGGATGAGGCTGCTTGGGCCTGTGTGCGTTGGGAAATGCGTGCGGACTTGCGCGGCGTGTAGGGCTCCCAATGATCCTCAAATCCGTGAAGCGGCGCTGGCGGGGTGTGGATGTCGGATGGAGAGTGCGGGCCGGAGGGAGTCACGGCCCCGTGACTGCGAAATACCTCCATCATTTTTTTACCGTACACAAACAAGGCTGACAGTATATCGGACAAACTGTTCTCCAAACAACAACAAAAGTGTGCGACCAATGAGATGACCGCTACCCAGGCGACAAAGGGCCTGAAAGGATGCGATGAAGGAAGGAGTGGGATGGGATGAAAAGACCCGCCCGCGCAATTGATGCTAGAATTGGCGACGACAATGGGAAGGCGCGTCAATTGGCGAATGCAGTGCAATGTGCGCGCTTCAGCGGCCCGGTGTTGTCGATGCAAGGCCGACGCACGCAAGTTGATGCGCTATGAATGTGTTGCGAATTCAGGTGCACACTTTTAAGAGTTGTGCTTGATGTTGTTGTCTAGATAGTCGTCGGGGTCGGGTGTCGTTGTCGATGTGGTGATTGATGGTGGTGGTGGTGGTGGTGGTGGTGGTGGTGGCCGGCAAATGCGGAGATCCTTTGAATTTGAATTCCCAAGTCCAACAAACCGTGAAACCTGGAACGTGCAAAGACCAACTTAAGACAACAACAAAAACAACAACGGAACTTGGCGCCCGGTTTCTTTTTCCTCCTCCACACAAATCGCGCAGCAGCAACAACTCGAAGCTAGTAGAACTAGTAGTAGTAGGTAATTGAACAATACGATAGAGAGTATAGAAGTGTGTAGTTGAGGCAGTATGGTATAGGTGCTTTGTGGCTCTTTGTGGATGCAGCAAATAAAAAAAAATAAAAAAAGAGGCTCAGCTGAGTGATGAAGAGGCGACAATGATGGGATGGATGTGTGAAAAAGTGGGTGGTCACGTCTTGTCTTGTCTTGTCTTGTCTTGTCTTGTCTTGTCTGGGGTTAGGAGCTGACTGGAGTGAGCGCAAGGCAGGCCGATGATTGCGGATGTTGTTTGGGGGAAAGAACGCCAGGAGTGCAAACCAAAGAAGGGGCTGGGGGCGGTCTGCGCCTGATTGATCTGAGAGCATGCCAGAATCACTCACCCACACACGGTCCACATCCCGGTGCACGGACCATTTAGTTGCCGTCACACACCCTGGGCTGTGGACTCAGTCTGTCCTGTTCTGTTCTGCTCCCACGTTTCCGTCCGTCGTCGTTGGCAACCAGGGGCAGACTGGGCAGTTGATGGCAATCCGGATTTTCCATTGGTCGGATCTTGATTGCAGTCTTGATTGACAGAGCCCACAGCGCGCTAAGACGCGTAAAGTCTTTGTTCATTCATTCTGAGTCGCGTCTTTGGCTCCCTTGCCCTTGGAGGTCTGTTTGCCCACTTTGCCCTTGCCGAAAAGTGTCCACTGTCCCTTGCAAAAATGTCCACTTTGCTGTCCCTGTCCAATCCCGTGGTTGCAGGGCCGATTTGACGCCTGGCCTTGCTAGGCACAGGGTGTAATTTGATCAACGTCATTCCCAGGGCCTTCATTGCGTGCATCCGCATCCGTGCACCGGCACTTCAGTCAAAGTCAACAACGGCAGCTCTAGAACTACCCCAGATCGTCAACCACCTTGTCCAAGACGACGACGACGACAACGACAACGACAACGAAGCACCGCCAAATAAAATGTCAGACGATCGAATGGAAATCTCCGACGAGGAGGGTTCCTCCCTCTTCGCATCGCCCACTCACCCTCCCACCTCTCGCGCCCATCCCCCGTCGCAAGCGCAGCAACAACAGCAACAACAGAAAACCCCCGTCGCTTCGAGCGCAGCAGCCGCCGCCGCCACCTCAGCATCCAAGGATTCCAGCACCAATCAGAGCAACAGCAGTCGCTCTTTCGGCATCGACAACACCACCATCGAGAGTCGCGAAGCCGCTCTACAGCGCGAGCTAGAAGGAGTGCGCAAGATCAACCAAGTAATCGAAGGCGTCATTGGTACACTGGAGCGCGCAAAGGGGAATATGGGTGTATGTTTGTTTCTTTCTTTCTTTCTTCCGTTGCCCCCTTCCGTCTGTTTACCCTCCCAGGTTTACAGGTTTACAGGTTCTCGAGTCGATCACCCATTCCCAACCTTAACTACAGCTCTTTCTCTTCCATCTCGCCAATCACTAACAAATCATGTCTTCAACAAGACGGTTAACCGCACCATCCACTCGGCCTCCCACCTCCTCACCACCTGGACCCGCATCCTTTCCCAAACCGAGCACAACCAGCGCCTCCTGCTCAACCCCTCATGGAAGGGCGCCACTGCCGACCTGGTCGAAATCGAAGCCGAAGCCCTTGAGCGCCAGCGCGAAGCCGAACGGAAAGCCGCCGAGGCGGAGCGCAAGCGAGAAGAGGCGCGCCGCAAAGCAGAAGAAGAGGCGGAACGGAGACGGTTGGCTGCTGCGTCGAGTGGACTGGGATCAACGAGGGGAAGGCCGAGGAGCAGATCCGTTGGAGTGGCGAGCTCGAGGTATGGGATTGGAGTTACGAGAAGCAGTGCGACGGGGACGAGAGGAGGCAGGTCTGGGTCGGGGGTGGGAAGCTTGGTTGGGACTGGGAGGACGGGAACGGGGACGGCAGGTACGGCGGCTGGAAGAGTGGGCATGACTACTAGGAGTGGACTGGCTTATCGACCAGCTGGGGCGACAGGGACGTCGGGGATACCGAGTGTGAGAGGAGGGAGAGGAGGGACAACGACGACGACTAGGGGCGCGAGGGGTGGAAGTATAACGACGACAAGAGGGGCGAGAGGTGGTACAACAAGAGGTGGAAGTGCGCGTTGAGGAAGGGATGAAAGTGTGCTGGTCATGCTTATGATCATGACCACAACCATGACGATGACGAGAAGAAAGATATGTTAGAATGCTGTAAACTCCGCAAAGGAGAAAGCCATGTCATTTTAGAAACCCCCATATACCCGATACCAATGTACATATACCCAAACCAAACCAGACCTTCTAATTGAAACCCCTAAAAAACGCCATTTTATAACCTCCCACATTATACCATTCCTTTTCCCCTTTTCCCCATTTAAATAAAACCCTTTTTCATCCCAATCTCTCTTCAATTTTTACGTCTTCTTCTGGAAAAAACTCGTCAACTTCATCATCCCCCTCGTATTCACCTTGGCCAGCTCCTTGACTCCCCTACTCACACCCGCCTTTTTCGCCTTTTCTTCCTCTTCCTTTTTGCGTCTCTTCTCGGCCCGCTCAAACGCCTCTTCCTCGTCTCCCGCTATGCGTTTCCGCGAGAAATCGCTATGCGACCGCGACGCCACCGCTTCTTGGCGGAGCTTGGCTAATTGCGCGAGGTAGGCATCTAAGGGGGTAAAGTCCACTGAGGAGGGACTGGACAGAGAAGATTTCAGGTGCGACGAGAGGGATGGGGGGAGGTAAGAGGAGGTGAGGAAGTTGAGGGATACGCGGAGACGTTGGAGACTGAGGATCTCGGGCGTGGGGATGAGGGAGGGGATTACTTCTGCTCCGGCTCCGGCTCCGGCTCCGGCTGCGGAAGTGGGGGTAGCAACGGCGGTGGTGGCTTCGGAGAGGGAGGTGGTCGTCGTCTCTTCTTGCGACTCAGTGGACACAGTAGTATCCGACCTCGAAAGCACCGTCGTCCGAATCCCCACAATCGGCGCTTCCAATGCTTTCGCAACAAACTTCTCTTCCATACTCTTCGGCAGACCACCTTCACTCATGCGCTTGGCTTTCGATAATAGCTCCCCGACGAGTTTACTCTCGTTCAACCGGAACATGGTTTCATCGCCTGCCTCTACGGTGTCACAAACAGCCGCCATGCGCTTCTCCAGCAGGTTCCGCGCTTGAGGCCATTTAAGCACTTCCAACAGGTGGTTCTGCCTGTTTCCGTCACTGTCCTGTTCCGATACGGCGTCAAAGTGGTCGTCGCTCGAGAGGAACATGCGCTGCTGCTTCTTGTCTGCTGCTGCAAGGGCGGGCAAGACGAGGAAGAGGGGGTCGATTTGCGTGGCTACGTAGAGCTCCGAGTCCTTTGTGGTTTGCGCGGGGGTGATGGCCGTGGTGCCATCTAAGAGTTTGGCGCTGTCAATTAGCCAGCTGCGTGGGGATTTCTGTTGGGGGGCGGCGATCTTGGTAAACTCGTAGAAGGTGCCCGAGTCGGGGCAGACGAGGTAGCGCGTAGGTTTGGCATAGCGCGGGTTCTGGAGGGTGACGATGCGGGATTGGGGGGTGGCGGACTTGGGGAGGATGAAGATGCTGGGAGGAGATTCGACTTCAGGCGCGAGGGTGTAGATTGAGCTGTTGCTGGAGGTGGTGCTCTTGGACTTGGTCTTGGAGGAGGAAGAGGCGGATTTCGCATCCTGGAAGTCTGCGGTGCTGGCCTTGGATCGAGTTGTTCGTGGCATGGCTATTTCTGAATCGAATTTCCAAGTTCTTCGCACTCTCTTCTTTCCGAGATTAAAATGTTTTGCACGTGTCTTTGGTTGTTCTTGTTTTGATGGGATATCGCCAGGGTCCTCCAAAGTCCGGAGTCCAATGGCTGACCCAGCTCTCCACAGTGAGCGGCAGGACCCCTGACCATCAATCGCGAGATTCGCTGGAGACCAACCGACGCGACTGACCGCGATTTCCCATAGCATAGCGCGCCCCACCTTCTTTAAACGACCCACTTACACGCCTTCCCCAACTTTTCACTTTGTCGTTTGCGCTTTGCGAGATCGCGTTGTCTTGGAGATGATACTCCACTTTTCAGCACAAGTGTGCCCTTTTCGGAGTTTCTCACTGGTCCCTTCACTCTTCAGCCCAGACGACGACTTCTCGATACTTGAATTCCCCGCTGTCGTTGTCCCGTCCACCCACTCACGCCCGCTGTTGATGGCTTGTCAATGCCACTGTCACTCTCCCTACTCTTGTCACCAAAACAGAAACAAGCATCTGCACCCAAACATCACCATTCCAATTTGGGCCTTTCGATCCAGATCCATCCAGTCTTCCATTGCACTTACTTGCTTGCCTTGCACTTGTCACGGACCAACCAGCCTTGATACCATTTCACGATCTCGATCTTTTTTCTTTCGTTAGTTGTCAGTCAATTTGTGGCTCCTCGTGAGACATCCACTTTCTTCAGTTGGTCACTCATTGGAGAAAAAAAATATTTTCATCTTTTCTTTCCATCTTCCATACTACAACGCATCCTGACTTGACAGTCCATAATCTGTAAGTGTACCCAAAAGCCTGGAAGATTGTGAAAGACTTAAAAAATCCCCAAGGCCTGAATGGAGCCTTGTGGATTGCGGGCACCTCGGTTGTCGATCAGATAGAGTAACGTCTACACTACTTGTAGCTGCTCAATGTTTGCACTTCTTCATCTATCTTGGGATTGGACCTATTCTTGGCCGCCACGACTGACTGACTGTGTGGTTATTACACCATCGATGACTTTAGATTTGCCTCGAGTTCCTCAACCAACCTAGTAGTTCCACTGGGCCGACAAACAAACAAATCTAAACACACTTTTTTTTACGAACCACACTACGATCATTTCCGAACTCTTCTCTCGTTCATCTCTTCTTCCGCTTCCACCGGCCACGTCCACCGACCGCACCATCCATCTCACCCTCGGGCGCCTCCCTGCATAACACCATCCAGCCTGCGGTCCTTCCCTTTGGCGACCAATGTCCGTGAATGTCGTCCTTGCCGCACACTAATTGGCCGCCCAAACAGCCATAGCCTGCCCTTCGGTTTGGTCCCGTCCCATCCTTGCATGCAAACCTGGAACCTGCAACATCGATCCTGAATTGAACCACCAACACACACACCCACACACACACCACCCCGCCGCCGCCCGGTCAATAATCCAAATCCGATCTCCGCTCTCCATCCCGTGCCCGTCTCCCTGGGTTCCGCTTCTGCCCTGGGCCACCAGTCCAGTCGAGTCGCATTGGGCTACTCGATAACCTTGGGCAGAGACGATCCCCGTCACCTCGGCGATACATACTTCAAATCACATTCCCGGAAACAGCTTTCTGGGTTCGGGTTGCTAGTGTTGGAACGCGACAAAAGGTCATGGCGACACATTGGCCACCCCGGTCTCCCCACGAAGCTCTCATCAGCACCCCGCGAGGCCGCCAGCGCTTTCGTGAAATGCAAACGTCGCCCACCCCGTCGCCGTCCAGACTCAGAATGTCCCGTTCGAACCCCGCCCTAGCGGCGCGCTACACCGACAATGAGGACGCCGTTATGATTGACGTGGACGACCTGGAGGATGACGACGACGAAGACGAGGAGATGGTACAGCTGAAGCTGCAGGAAATCCAGGCGCGCATGAAGTTGAAAAAGATACAAAATGCAAAGGCGCAAAGAAGGGCTAACTCGTCCATGGATGCACGATCGAATGGAGGCCGACCAGAAAGCGCTTCGGCCAACAATAACAACAACAACTCAATGCAACCCCCGGCCGGACTTCCCATTCAGTCAAGGTTAGCTGCGGCAAGAGATAGGATGGAACAACAGTCAAATCCCGTTCAGATCCCCGCTTCTCCGGTCAGGAGGGGACGTAGTGAATCTGCTCCTCAGCCACCTCAGTCCCCCACGAGGCTCATGTTGGGAATCGACAAGGGACGAAAAGCGGCCGACATGTCACTGAAAAGGGCGCCCACATTACGAAAGGTCGAAACCGAACGTCCCTCCCAGAATCTAAACTCCCAACAGTCAGGCTACTTGCGACGGTCCATGACGACATCCTTTAGCGAAGATCAACCCAGCTCCAGCTCCCGTCGTCCTGTAAGCTTCGACGGGCGGGCAAGTTCTTTCTCGCAGGCAGAAGAAAGACGTCCCTTGAGTTTCAACGAGCGGCTAGCATCCGCCAGGAACGAAGAGCAGGAGCGCAGGGAAAAGGCACAGAGGATACAGAAGATCAGGAGTAATGCCTTCAGTATTGGCAGGGAAGAGATGGAGGAGTACAAGACAAAAGCGGTGGACGTTCCCGAAGTTCCCTACAAGGCTCCGGAATATTCTCGGGACGATATCCTATCAGCGACGGGAAGATCTTCATCAAGGCCAACCATGAGCGCATCATCATCGTTCACACAACCAAGCTCAACACAAGTCAACTCGGACAATGAACCTGGCTTCGAACCTTATTCAGGTCTTCGCCTGTCCAAGCGCATTCTTCCCCATAATGTGGTCACTCGCGCTATTACAGGCAAGAAGACCTACGGTTTGAAGGACCTTTTGCGGCAAGTTAAGGCGCCTGACTGGTCCCTTCCTGATGTCGAGTCTGATGTAGTCGTTTTCGCCATCGTCGCAACCAAGTCTGAACCGCGCAGCCATCGTAGTGATGGCAAGCCTTTGCAAGAACGCGGCAAGTACATGGTCATCAGCCTCTGTGATCTTCAGTATGAAGTGGAACTGTTTCTCTTTAACTCCGGATTCGACCGCTTCTGGAAGCTCACGCCGGGAACCATTCTCGCCATCCTCAACCCCACCATCATGGCGCCAAAACAAGGTCAGCAAGATACCGGTCGGTTCTCGTTGGTGATCAACAGCGATGAGGATACCATTTTGGAGATTGGTAATGCGCGCGACCTAGGTTATTGCAAGAGCATCAAGAAGGATGGCATGCTTTGCAAGAGTTGGGTCAACCTCCGTCGTACAGAGTATTGCGAGTTTCATACCAACGAAGCAGTCACCAAGTCGAGACAGGGAAGGTTAGAATTGAACAACTCTTTCGGGTTTGGAGACAAATATAAGCAAAACTCTAGGTACGCCAAGAGTGAAGAGGCCAAGCGAAAAGAGGAGGAAATACGACTGAGGGGTCAATACGACCGGTCAACCGGCAGTCATTTCTTCATGAACCGTACTGCCGCGGAGCTCATTGATGGCGGTGGCATGGCTGATCAGGCTGAGAAGAAGGAGGCTATCAAGAGAAGCTTGGCGAGGAAGGAGAAGGAAGCTGAGATTGCAAGAAAACTGGGCGAGGTGGGTGGTGGTGCTGGGAGAGATTACATGAGTCGAGCCGCCGGTGGTCTTCGCGCAAGTTTCTCTTCTACCAATTCAGTACCCATGTCAGGCTCTACCTCCTTCTCGTCAGCCACAGCCTCGACACCCATGTCGTCACTGTCCGGCCACAGCCAAAGCAACAGCATAAATGACCCGCTAGGCTTTGGCGGCAGACCCCGATATGACCTTCAAGCCCTCGGTCTACTCCGCAAAAAGGGCGAAGAACAACCCAAAATCGATCTCGGCCCAATAAAGCGCAAGCGTCCCGAGTCCGCCCAGTCAAGCGAAAACAGCTTCAGCAAATCCAACTCTGCCAGCAGCGCAACCATCACCCCCTCCAACTACACCACCAACACGAAAGCCCCCTCCTTGGGCTGGGGCTCCAGCCTGCGCGACAAGCTTTCGAGAATGAAAGAAGGCGAGCGGCTCAACCTTTCCCACCGCCCCAGCAACTCCAGCATGCGCGATTCCACCCCCGCCCTCACCAACTCCTCGTCCACCACCGCTTCGACCGGCCTCACTCCGGCCATCAACCGTCTCTCCACCTCCGCCAGAGACTTCAACTTTACAAACTCCTCCTCCAACACCCAGACCAACCTCCCCAACCGCCCCTCACCCGCCGTCCGCTTCTCCGCCGCCCCCAATAATTCTTCTGGTACTACAACCACCACCAACGGTCCCACCGCTTCCCATCACCACCACACCTCCTCCTTATCCTCCTCTCGCCTCCTCGGCGTCTCCGCCTCCGCACGTCTAGCAGCCGTGAGAGCAGCCGCCGCGGCACAAGCTGCTGCTGCTGCCGACGGGCACTCGCAAGGGTCGCAACCGCCTGTCAGAAAAAAGACGCGGTTCGTCACGGATAAGGGGATCAGAGAGGCGGGCAGGGATAGTCTCGGTGACAAGGGGTTTTTGTTGAGTGCGGCGCAGAAGAATAGGAGGCAGGTGGTGTTGAGTGAGGATGATGATGATGACTTGATTGTTTTGAAATGATTTGTCTGGGAGGGGATAGTACATGCATGTCGCTGGGGTGGGGTTGTAGTAGTGTAGTGGAATTGCGAAGAGGTTAGGTGGGATATGTGATGTCTGGATATATGGCAGTCGGTTGGTCTATCGGTCTATCGATCGATAGGGTATCTTCGGCTTCGTCAACGTCTGTACTCTGAATGGATGGATGGATGGATGGCTCTTCAGCAGAGGTTTTCTTTATAGACTGGTATGGTATGGTATGTCTGGTATGGTACGGCTTCAACTGTTTTGATTGGGACATTGCTTGGGACATGATGGTTATGGATGGATGGGGTTTCGGATACTTTGAATCTTTCTCTTGTATGATGAATTGAATGACCACACACAACACAACACAAACATAAGGAATGGATACGAAACATAAATTGGTGTTAATGAATATGGCTTGCTTCTCTATCTCTCTTTGTCTGTCGCTCCCTTATGCTCCCCCCCCCCCCCCCCCCTCTGTCGCTCTTCTCATTTATTGATACCCACTACAAATCCATAGCCACATACCGAAACGCTTGCAAGGCTAAGTAAATTGTTATTTTCAACCGTACGGTAAATCCACAGGCACTCATACCAAAACCCTCACAACATCGAAACTCTTTACTCGTCGCATTGCATCGCAGTCTTTGTTTTTTTTTTCCTTTTTTTTTCATTTTTTTTTTTTTTTTTTTTTTTTTTTTTTTCCCAAACTCTGTTCGTTGTAATCTTCCACAGTGCAATGACAGCAGCAGTTGTCTACTTAAACTTTGTTTTTATGACTGCTAACAACAACCAATCAAAGCCCGCATGGCTCAGTGGTAGAGCGCATCACTAGTAATGATGAGGTCGTCAGTTCGATTCTGGCTGTGGGCATCAAATTCCCATTTCTTTTGCTTTTTTGCTTTGTTTTTTGCTGCTCAATACTTGGGGAAGTCCCTCTTTTACTCACTTTCTTTTCTTTTCCTTTTCCTTTTCCTTTTCCTTTTCCTTTTCCTTTTCCTTTTCTTTCTTGCTTTTCTCTTTTTTTTTTTCTTTTCTCTTTTCATTGAAGGGTTTGGTCAGCGTTGTTTTGAGGTCGCAGATGGATGATGGTATCGCAGTTCCGTATCAGGTGCCATTCATGGTTGGCTGGCTGGTTGGATGGCTGAGTTGTGTGTGTAAGTTTTGGTAGGTAGGTTGGATGGAATGGGATTGGGATGGAGATGGGATAAAGTGAAGAACTGACCGACCGACCGACAGACCGGGACTGATCAGGATGTATGTAGAATTTAAACAAACGAGCGAGGGACGTGTGAACGTAGTAGTAGGTAGTAGTAG